TTCTTTTTTTTTCCGGGGAATCGACATCATCGGCCAATTCGCCTTGGCGCAACCTTGGCGCGTGCGTCATGGGTTAAAGATGAGCCACCGGTTAATTTATTTCATTTATTTTATTTATATCATTTATTCCCTCGGAATTTCTCGGCCTTTTTCAATGGCGCCTTCCTATCCCCCGATGTCCGTTCGCGCGCGTGCGCGCGCACCGTCCGCGGCGACCAATCAGAGGGCCGCGTTTCCGTGGGAACGGCCGCGCGCGATAGCGACCGCAAGGTCGCTTCGCGCTCTGTCTTCCTCGCGCGTTCGTGCTTGCCGGTGCTTCCACTATAAATCTTTCGTAAACATTCCTACAAAGTCAATCCACGAAGGGATCGATAAGAAAAGTCCCCCGGAAGTCGTCTTAAAAATAAAAAACGTCGATTATAAAAATCTCAACCACGCGAGAGAACGTCAATAAAAAGAAACACTATTACACCTTTCTAATGTCTATCTTAAGAAATTCTTAACCCTAGAAATCATTCCCTCGGAATTTTAACACCCAACCGGAGGTATTCCCGAACTCTTTGATACCTCCAGTCGCCATGGACCAATTAATTCTTAAGGGTGGGATTACTCCTACCTCCATCCAAGATGGCCGCCGACACCTCGGCGAGGACATTCCATCGGAGTTGCGGAGCGCAGGTTTAGCCGACGACGGAACCCCTCGTAAGGGAGCTGAAACGCGTTTTTGCTCGTTATGGACGAAGCTTGCAAGCAGTAATTGCGGGATATCTCATGTCGGCCTTATTCCTAAGACCGACACGAGTCTCGTCGGGCGCGCATGCGCGCTGGGTGGCGCGCGAGCGCGAAAGGAGAGGTCGCTCTCCTCCTCCCCCTCCCCCCCCCGCGCGCGACGGCCTCGCCGATTCGCCTGTCCACGTGTTCATGTTATTGTTATTGTCGGGACCCTCGCCGGTGGGCCGCGCGCCGGAGTTTCGGCGGGATGCACGTGACCCGGCGGCGGCACAGCCGACGGTCCAGGGTGGGACGCTGCGCGGCCACGATTAACGGACGCTAATTGCATGGCAACAGAGCCGGCCCGAGATAATGATATATCCGACGCGCGTCGCCGTTGGGCCTCTGGCCCACTTCAAAATTCGACCTAACCTCTCGCGCGACGCGCGCGTGTATATGAGGCGCGCCCCCTCTACCTACACCGACGCTCATGGGTGTACTTGGCGCGCGACTCTTTTCATCGTGTTTTCGTCCTTACATCGGCGCGCCGATTCATTTCGGACCGAAGTGAGGTTAGGTGATCTCGCGATAGGACGAAAATTCCTTCCCCGAAATCCACCGGGAGAGCGGCTAAAAGAAATCGGCCGTGTCGCGTTACCTTAAGGGAACGTCAGTTCGAATAGCCCGCCAAAGGGGGCGCCGACGTGTTCCGTTCGCTCGAGTGGATAGCTCTCGGACTCTCCAACTACGCGCTACTAGAATCTAGGATTCGATCTCTCCTAGGGAACACCTTCGGGCTCCGGCAGGGAAGAGCTTGTCCCCGGGGAACTTCACGCTCGATTTGGCGAAGCACTCCCTCGGGGAAAATCGACGCACACGGGGCTTATAAGGTAACCGGCCAGGTTGTAAATTCTTTCCGTGAAATTATATTCACGCTAGGGCTCCCTCGTTGGACGCTAAATAAAGCCTAATTTTTTTCACAGCTGCAGGGGAACGAAAACAAAATGGCGGTCGCGAAACCCGAAGTTATACGTGAGATTTTGATAAACGAGAGAAGTAGTTATCGGTACACTGAAGAAAAGAAAATAATGATAATCTCGTTGAACCGGAGAAATATTCTGTTAATTCAATAATTAATTATGTCACTCAGACTTCTTGGTTTTGTATAGCATATATTTTATGAAGCTATTGGTGGAGGCGTTTCTTGACGTTTTGTACCTTTTGGCCGAACTTCCGCAACGACCTTCCAACCGAGTCGAGCCTTGCGCCAACAAGGTCGGCGTTAAGGAAGGAAGTAAAGGATCGGTAGAGTCACTAACTGCGAATCATCTTCGCACGATTTGGGAGGCGAGATCGGGGGATTCGTCACGGAGTATAAAGGAAGGCCAGATGGCGGACGGGTGCATCCTTGATGCGCCGTCATGGGAGACGACCGCATTTCCGGGTACGCTCCAGAAGTTGATATTAATTTCTAATTCTTCCGAGGTCATAGAAACTCCGTGGCAAGACTTCTTTTTTTTTTTTAGATTTCCACAAATTCTCAGGTGACGCGCGTCCTTCGGGCACGCGTACCGTTATCACGATCGATTTCCTCCGTGTCGACTCGGCTCCGGTAGGAGCATGTTCCAGAGAGAGAAAAAGGAGAAGGGTCTCCGGTCCCCGAGATTTCTCTACAACGGTCGCCGCCAACTTCTAGAAGACGCGTCCTCGCTTAGGGAAGGGGCCAAGGCCTGAAAAGGCCAACTCGAGCGAGTTGAAATTCGGCGGAATCGAACCGCGTAACCCAATACAGAATTTAATGGAGATATCGAATTACGCGGCTCGGCTTAATTCGAGGCGATAGGTGAAAGGACAGGGATAAATTGTTCCGAAATTTGTCAGGACACCGGAGACCTCCTGGTCGGCCGGTTAGCCGGTTGCAGGGAGAATTAGCATAACAATCGGCGCGATCGCGATAAATCGCGAGCTGGCGAGATTATTTAGCGACCACCGTAAATCCTACGTTTAACGTCCTCTCCCGAGACCAAGCTCTCGATTATTGATTTCCTCGCGGGCTGATAACGCGACTTCTCTCTTTGACTTCTCAATCGGCAGGAATCCACCGCCCGAAGGCCTCCTCTTTTTTACTGGAATTATTTAACGTCCTCTCATGATATTTATGTACACTGGAAATTCATTAAGCCGAGAGGTGAGGTGCCCAACCAGGTGCGAAAGGCGATGCGGCCAAGAATTACAGCCTGGTTTTTCATATCACTCGTCGTTCCGTTATCAGTGGTGGATTAAAACCGCCGATTGGACCGCGGATTAGGATCGCTCGTTATTTCCGCATTTTCTTTCATTACCTTGTCTCTAAGAGAACGCGCTCTACCCTCATCTCAATTCCGTGGCCTAATAGGTGCCATCGCCGCGATAAATTGCGTCTGCGCAGTTTTTACCGCTCCTCATAAATCATCCTCCGGGTTAATCTTGCCCGTAATAACTTTTCACTCACTGCTTAACCATTGATTTCCTAGCGGCCGAGATCCGCGACCGTTTCTTTCCCCGTGTTTTATTCCCCAACTAAGTTCATGCATTTTAATTGCCTGCTTTATGGCCGCCGACTTTGCCTCGTTGGAGAGCCGCGGTCACCCTGTAATTTATCTGCGACTGTTATCGTCCCTGCGGAACCTTTATCGCTTATTTTTCTTTTTTTTTTTGGCGAAACAATTATAACGTTAACTTTGCTCGACGTTAAATTCAACGTCCGTCCCCCCGACTCGCCGGGTCGATTTATCAGCGAGTAATCTCAACCAAATTCCCCTTGATTGCACTATACTTATAATAACATTATTGTATCGCGAGTCACCGATTCGCTCCTTATTTCCACGAATATCGCGCAGTTTTGACCAATCCCGATTTCACCGAGTCGGGCCCGGTCCTTCGAATACATTAAATCGAGCCAGATCTCGCGTTTCGTTTTTTTGCCACGAGTGTTTCACTCAGAAGGCCATTAACTACGATTCACATTTTTTTTTTCGAAAAAAAAAATGTACACAATTTATAACTAGTCTACAAGTGGTAGAATATATTCAGTGTCTTCTTGGGGTCTTGCGAAGCTTGCCTAAAAATTCTGTTCGATCATTTCGTGGGTTCGTTCTAATCACCCTTGGGGGATTTTTTTTTCCGAAGGATAAGATCACCTTCCGGCACCGTAAGAAATATTTAACCAAGCTCGAAACCCGGTCGGAGCTTTTGAAGTCCTGTTTAGCTCTCTCTCTCGCCCGTTGAAGCTGGCCGTGATTTAATAAATCGCTATCCGAGAGGTGATTTGCCGGTTAGGTAGCCGAGGTTGGCCGGGCACGGGGCGATTGTGCAATTTATGAAACACATCCACGTAGGTTTGCACAATGGGTTAGTGTGGGGTCCCCGAGAGCCGGGACGAATGTCCTTTTCAAACCGTCCTCGGCAGTCCAGAAAACAATCGGGCGAGATAATCGAGGAAATACTTCGCGACCCTTTGAAAATAAATACCAGTGAAGCGTATACATGGAAAGTACGTTCGCCGCCTCGGACGCGTATCGGCCTTTTTTTTCTTATTATCTGAAAACACGTTTCATTCAACACCCGACCGATCGGATTTCGGTCGGGAGTATTATCAGCAGCTGACAAATCGGGCGATCCGAGGAGAACCAATTTCCAACCGAAAAGTCCCTTTTCTTATCGGGGCCCAAACCAATGTCGCCCTTCCGGTTAAACGGTCGGTCCTGTACATGGGATAATATAATACAATTAAATCCCACACTTAAGCCTCGCCCTCTGATCTCGATATCCGCGATTCCTTGTCGACGCTTCCTCGTGTTAAATATTATGAGACTCCTGACCCTTCTATCGAAGAGACCGTTTAATATTTACATACGAGTCGACCGAGGTTTGGATAACAGATCGGAAGGTGACAAAAGTACGAACAACCGAAGACGATGCTCTCGATAACCACGCTTACGAGTCCCAGGAACTATCCCTGTATCGCTCTCAACACTTTACACGTTTTATCCAAAGGCTGGTGAAGGGAGAAAAGCACGTATACTCGTATTAACACTGTCCTAAACGAGGAAACTTGCATTTGTACGTTTCGAGGATCGATAAGTCGCGGGAGTCTCTGTGCAATTTCAAAAATCCGACCCGCGCGCCATCCGGCGGCGCGCGGAGACACCGCGAAGCGAGTCGACGCTATTTTACCGACTCCCCTCCCAGAGGGAGATTCGAAAGTCGTTCGAGCAAAGTTCCCGATTTAAAGGCTGTAAATTTTTCAGGCTAGTCGGACCCTCGCCCCCTGGGAGCACCTGTTGCCATGCCCGAGCTGCTCGTTCCCCTGCCACGTGGACCGGGAGAAGAACCTCGGCAGCTGTTCGAGGCAAGGCTGCTCTCTGGAGTTCTGCGCAAAGTGCTCCTCCAAACCGCACACGGGGCCCTGCAAGACGCCTCTCCTCGCCACCCCGACGAAGCGCAACAAAAGGCTGGTCGTCGGTTCTCGACAGAGCAAGCGAAACCTTAGGCGGCTGTAACGTCGACTTTCGACGATAGATGCGCCAGGCTCGAGGCCTCTCCCATATGGGGGCATAATGCCTCGCCATTTCTTTGCAACGCCGTAATAGCTCATCGAAGGGCACCGCTGCGAGAGACCCAAGACCGCGTCGCTTGAGAGACTCTAGATAGGCATAACGATCGGTGGGAAATCCCTCTGCGATTCCAAGTTCCATGTAAAACCCCATCGGGGAATGACGCGCGGAAAAGCTCGGCGGAAGGCGGCCATCTTGCTTTTATCCGTCAGGGCTCGCGTCTCGTTTAGGTCTTATTTTTAAGTCGATATTTATTCTACCCGCGTTTATCGCCCGGTTCGGGGCTGGCTCGAGGTTCGGCGGAGAATTTGGAATCGCAGAGCCCGGCCTGGGCTCCCCAGGACCGGAGTCAACCTGCGGAATTCGAGCAAGAACAATGTCGAGGTGGTCTCCCGGCCAGACGGCTTTTTGCCCGGGTCAGGGACGAATGCGCCCGCGGGTCTCGCAGGGAGAGCGCCCTTAGAACGTTGAATTTCGTCTTCTGTTCTATTTCCCCTTTCCACTTCCAACGCGAGATTCTTCGATACTCCTAGTCTAGTTTAAGGAGGGTTTACCCGTATCGCGAGTCGGCCGAAAGAAAGTATTATTCGAGGTAGAGGTAGACCTACGGGGGGACTCTCGAAGAGCGCCTAATGTGCTACTAGCTCAATCAAAATGCGCCAAAATGGTATTATACTACGACGGTTCGTCGAGGAGGAACCCGCGACCGCGGAGAGTTTACGGTCTAGCTCGCGACCAGGGAGTCGATTTTTCGTCTCGACGTCGTCGGGACGGGACTCCAGATATTATGTCTTAACCCGTGCTCTCTCTCTCTCTTTTTCCCGGTACTCGCAACGAGACGACTCCCTCGTTACGAATCTCCAGGACAAACGAGCCGGTACAAACGGCCCGATATATNATCCGTGCCATTAGTCGCCGCCATAACGATTGCCATACTATACATATATTTTTTTACTTAAACTAAGAGCGCGATAGCACAAGAGCAGAGCCGATGAAAGTACACAGTACACATACGTAGAAAGGAGAGCCCACAGTTCACAGCCAACGCGGACCGCTCTTCTTTTAGCGAGCACTAGAATCCCTCCCGTTACTCCCTTTTGCGTTCGTCCTAAGATTTATCGTCGTATGTACGTCGTTTCTCCTTTTACCGGTGTATGCTGAAACGCGAAAAAGACTGCATGTAAATATCCGTGCGCATAGTAATATATATATATATATATTCATCGCCGTGTATCGCGTGTCAAGATTCTCAATCGAGGTCCATCCGCCCTTGTTATCACTCGCGTTCTCATCAACGTGTCATTGCCATCGTCATTGCGTCGGAGGGTCAAGTGATGTCTCGGCTCCTCCGCGATGCGCCTCTCGAGGGCTTCCTTTTATCCGGCTGGATGTCGATTTTGAACTTAACCCGTTGATCTCTAGAAAATCGGATATTATTTTATTAACGCCGCGCGCCAAATTTAATATCTACCTCTCCCTTATTACCTGCACTGTGCGTCGTCATTTTATCCGGCATTAATCTGGCGAGCGTTTTTCCATTTTTCTCGTTAACTTAAAAACCGTGATTTTAATTCGAGCATGTCTTCGCGTTAACGTTCTTATTTATTATATTTCACGTGGAGTGTCTGTCGATAAATGTTTGTTTGAAGTCGTCCTTTCTTTTTTCTTTTTTTTTTTTTTTTCTAATATATCGAATTTTAATTTGGAAAGTGTGTCGCATCTCTGTGATTCGAAAATTCCGCCGTGATTCCGGTTTACTTGTTCTACGTTTAAATTTATTGCATACGAGGCTGCAGTGCTTTAAGTACAGGTAGAATAATTAAGTCGAGCGGGCGCAGAGGAGGAGAGGAGAGTCACTTTTGACGTCATCGCCATTGTCACCTTTATTTGTGGACGTCGTGAAAATCTTCACCCACGCGTTTTATGAGCGTTTCCCGCAACACTAGGCCGCATTTTCCTTCTTACTTAAATCCTATCCCGTGAAACTAGCGATATATACATATCTAGTTGTACTTCTTGAGGTAGCCCACGAAGGACGAGAAACGTGCAGGTGTCTTCGCGTTGCGTCGTCTGGTAAATTTGGAAACCGAACCCGCGAATCGTTTTATTATACCTTACTTTTTCTTCTGGTCAATTTCGCGGCAACGGGGTCATTCGAAATTTATCAGCTGTCCTATGTAAATTACCCGTGAGATTTGTACGGCGCCGTGTAATCGCAATCGCGAAGTATGCCGAATCGAAGTGCCCAATGTGGTTCATTCTCCCTCGTCTTAGAATGCCGAGAGAAGAGAAACCAAGTGCCTTGTAAGATAGTTTTACTTGTTAATTAAGACCAGCTAGTTAGGTGTATAGAATTTTATCATACGGAATAGAGATAATTAGGTAAATGTATGCGTGAACGGGCGCGTGGGCACGTTAAGATCGTTCGAAACCAGGTATATAAGTTTACATTCTTCGCTGTGCCAATGATTGCAAGTCATTACTCGAGATGCCCTGCATCGATATCGGTCTTCTTATCCAAGGGACCGCGCGTTAACTTTAATCCTAGGATTTAATCTAATTTAACTTTCCAGCGGCGATTCCGTCCGAGTGATCGCGGTGCTAAAGTGCGGATACAATTTCAAGAGAAAAATTTTAACGGCCTCGGAGAATGTTTTAACCAAATTAAATTATTAAAGCTCGACTTTTTAACAGCTTGACGTACTTCGATGTTCTTCCGAATCTTTTATTCCGATGTGTGGGCCGGAGGTGAATGTATTAAAAAAAAAAAGAAAAAGAGAAAAATTCTCGACCTATGCGTTGCGTAATTCGATCACTCGAGGGGAATCACCGCAGCGGATTGCGTGAAAATGCGGATGTTTTCACCTCGTCGATTCTCGGCCCGGAAATTGCTACGAATGCGTTTCCGACTCTCCACGTTTTCGTTCCATATCGGTTTTTCTCGCAACTCCATCCTACTCGAGGCATCCCATCCGTTCAATTCACTTTCTCACCTCAGACTTTTAAATACTCAGGACACTTCGACAGGAACCCGATGCGTTTCTAGGCTAAGGTTGTATTTTTAAATTCTTAGTATTGAAAAGGTGATACCAAAAATGCATCGTTAATGCAATAAGTTAAAATTCCCACTGTTTCTCGCCGGACTTAATTACTCTTAACGCCTAGTGTAAGGTGGATGTACGTATTCTTATGCTCATTGCGCCTGCCCAAGTTCGGCTGTGCACGTTAAGAATAGAACACCCACGAATCCGGAGATGGAGGAAGTTTCCTCCCGTTATTCCGGAGAACGTCGGTGTATATCCTTATTGTCCTAATCAAACGTTGTAAGCCCTGTTAGGGCGCGTTCCTGTATTATCAGATTGAATATGAAAATTTTTCCAAGAAATATTACTCGAGCTGGTTCTAATAATTATCACCTTCTTTCTATAGTCGATGAAATTGATAAATAACGTCAGGTTATTTATCAATTTGGACGTTACATTGGGAGAATGATTTTATTTTTACTATGTACACGTTTGTACAAAATTAGGAACTTGCCTATTCTTAAACCGCGAGGAACTTCCATAATATCCTAGCTATTACTGCGAAAAATATCGTGAGTACTGCTGCGACTCTGTATTTCGATGGCTTCATCTCGACAGGTACGGTAGAGACATAACCTTTAAGTGGAAATGCCGATAATGGAGGATATATTGTTTCATCTAATGGCTCGCCCTTCATTGAATGTTTGCTAGCACCGACGATCTTTACAGTTATCATTTTGCCCATGAACTCCTCCTTCATTGGCACTAATACTTGTTCATAAAATTTGTTATGAGCGACGTAATGTTTCTTGTCATGAGAGATTTCGGTAACCAGTACCTGTTGCACTTCACCAACGCGATGCCCATATGGCTCGTACGATTGAAAAAACTCTGACAGTCTTTTCGTTCTCATCTTGACCTCTTGTGTCGGCACTTTTGTCATTCTAGCTGCCGGTGTTCCAGGACGGGGAAAAAACTGATTTATGAACAAACTTGGAAACTTGTACCGTTTACACAGAGTCATTGTTTCCTCAAAATTTTCATCCGTCTCTGTAGGGAATCCGCAAATAATATCGGTAGCTATAGTAATGCCTTGTACCCTTTCCTTAAGAAAGTCTACTACTTTCTGGAAGTCCTCACATGTATACTCTCTCTTCATATCGGACAGTACTTGATCACTCCCAGATTGGACCGGCACGTGTAGGAAACTGTATACCCTTGGATGATTCAATATTTTACTCATTTCCTCTAAGTGCTCGAGAATGTACGGAGGATTTGTCATCCCGATGCGCATCATACAATTTTTAGGAATAACTTCTACGAGTCTCCATAACAGTTCTGGTAAACTAGTTCCAATATCTCTCCCGTAGGTTCCGGTATCTTCCGAGGTAAGCCAGAGTTCGCACACTCCTTCCTGAAAGGCTTGCTTTGCACGCTCTATGATTTCATCCGGAGGATAACTTCCCAATTCGCCTCTGGCATGCTTTGTTTTACAGTATGTACACTGGTTTAAACATCCAGTATTTATAGCTATGATTTCAATTAAAAGGTTGCGGCGAACTTTTGGCAGCGCTAATGAAGCACCACCTATTTTTTTACCAAATTGTTTCTTTTGCCCCAAAAATTTAACCACATTTCCCTTCAATGTTTCTTCTACGACTTCTACAACGCGATCAATTTGTTGAACTCCTACTGTACTTAAATCATTTAGGAAATCAGACTTCGGAGCACCCTGTGGTACGCATCTGTAATCGAGAACAAAAATTAATCCTATACATTTCAAAGATGAACTCGTAATACAAATATTACATACCCTGCGACTACAATATATTTCCCAGCTTTTCTCCCAGACTTGATTTCATTTCTAAAATGATCTTCCGCAGGATTCTTCACAGTACAAGAGTTTAAAAGCCATAAATCCGCTTTCCACTTATCTTCCGTTAAGTTATAACCATATGCCGATAGCTGACCAGCCATGTACTCACTGTCAGAATTGTTATGCGTACAGCCCCAGGTTTTCACATAAATGATTTGAGTTCCAGGGATAGTACTCGATGGGGTAAGAGTCTCTACAGCTTCACGATCGATTTTTTTATGTTTAGCACGTAATGTGATTTTCTTTCTAGTACTGTACCTCTCTTTTGGAGTTATGTCTTGGGATGAAATTAAATCCTCGATATCATTGATGATATCACTACATGGAGCTGACATTTTAGTCAGAATTGTATATCTAAACAGTATTGAAATGTATTCATTCAGTCACGAAGAGCCAAACGACACCTTCGTAAAAAATTAGTATATGCCGTGAAGGCCCACCGATCCACATTATAGAATAAATTATGTTAGGTTTGAGAAGTTGTTACGCGCAGCCAGTACACGTGATCCGCCGTGCTGCTCACGGCGGAGAATGCAAGCGATTTATCAATCGATCACTATCAATAGATGGCACCATGCCTGCAGTGGATAAGCCGCTGGTATTTTCCACCAAGAGCAGCACTGTCGTGGTCACGTGACTGTTCGTGCGCAATCTCCCAACTCCTCTCTGGTGATGCTAAAATAACGAATCAAAAGAACCGCCTAAAGATGCAGCAATGATGTCCGTACTGCGTCACGTCCAACCTTGACTGCCATTGGCGCCATTCGGCTCATATTGCGTTCGGTCGTGCTTGCCGAGGTGATGTTGCGGTTAGCGGAAGGAACGAGACACGATGAAGCACTGCTTGCGTACGGTCGAACGATGAGCTGATCAATCCTTGAACGGTCAAATCGAGTCCCGGTCGCAAGTTCTCACTCGTACGATCTTGCCGCTCGAGTACTTCGTGAATTATTCGTAAAGTGACCTGATTCACGAGCCACACGTTCCGGTATTTTGGACTCTCGGCCAGTTCTCGTGTAAACAGACCGCCGCCTCGCGTTTATCATTCGAGATAATGATTATTTATTACATAATTTGCCAGTAGAGAAATGTTATGCTCCCGAAAAATATGCAGGTGAGACCTACTCGAATTCGCATACGGGGCGGCGTTCTTCGAAAATGACTGACTCTTCTTCAACTCCTGCTTCTACTCTTGTCAGGTGAGTACGGAGTAACCGAACTGCCGAACATATTGTCAACTCGGTCGGATCTCCGACTCGCTTCTCCGTAACTATTGTCATCCCTCGTGGATTTAGACGTAACCTCAATTCGCGCTAAAGCGCCACGTTCACCTGCTTCCGAATACCTGTTCGTATCTTTTTAATTAGTTCTTTCGCGTTTTGACGTTGTCAATATCTTTTTACCAAGGTGAAATGTTATCGGGCCAAGAAGGTCGTAAACTAATGCCATGGACGAAACAGGCTTTCAAAGCAGGTGACGAGTGTTGTCACTTATTACTACACATCCTTTAAATTGATTATAGATTTCTCACTTCCTGCATTAACAATCGGCTGTAATAATACGCTGGTAGCTGTCCCGTTACTCATTCATTATAATGCAATTACACGTGATACTGTGTGTAATTCGTAATGGCAATTAAGGATCTCTAACGTCATTTGTTATAACGTTATGATTATGTAATATGACTATTGAATCTCCAGTCTTGATTTACCGTTCTACAGTACTTTGGAAATTTAGTCTCGAATGCGCTTCAAGAAATGCATGAGCACCGAGCATCGGTTGCCGTTCAATAATTTACGCTCTCGAAAGCTATGTAGCACACGATACCTGTGATTCACCTAATAAAACCAATATTTATATATTCTGCAATAATTCTAAACTGTAAGCATAGAATATCTGAGCGGGTGAATCACTTTGTTTACTAAAATGGAGTCATAATATGACATCATGTCTTTTTTTAATGTATAATCTACCATGAAAAAATTCACGGTTAATGTAGATGAATTCTAACTGATCCGAGTCACCTTTGATACAGCTATGTAGACAGAGGAATATATTGCTATTTACTTTTTTACCATGTTGCAAAATGAACATGACCTAATAGTGCTTATTATTAAAGTCATTCGTTATGTATATAGGTTCATGAAGGATTGCATCAAATAGTTACAAACTTTGATCCGAATAAAATTAGTATTTGAAAACAATTCTATAACGATAGGAAGTAAATGACACAATTCTTAGACTGGAAGAATGTATCTTGAATTACCTTATAGAATTTGCCTTAATCCTTAACGATGTAATTGCATAAGTGGATGTTATAGGGGCTTCCTCACGGTCGGCGTCATAATACTTGAAAGGCTTATGTAGGAAACCGCGTATATAAGTGAGTCAAAGGTGACAGTTCTGAATTTTAAATGTTTCTCATTACAATTCACAAACTATTGTTAAAGGCTACAAGATAAGACTCACGCTTTCAACGGTTTAGAAGCCGTAATAATGCGAATAAACATGTCCCTCGCCAAGTACATTAATGAAACATTATTAATGTACTTAATTAATCGATTGTAAATTCAAACGACACGATTATGTATTATGTGAATATATCGAGTTTCTAATTCTTTTCAAATACATAAGAGATCATTAAATTATATGAAGCGAATGGAATTATTTTCATTGCAGGATAATCAACGCGGTGGTGTATTTTGTAAAATGTCTTGCCCGAATAGGGTTTGTGATCATAAACAATGCATATTGTATTCCTACCTACATCGTGTGGATGACACTTTTATTCCCTATGAAGTTTTACCACCCACAAATCTATTGGCGTATAGAAGGGCTGTTTTTTCACTGGCTCCTAGCGATGGTATCCATGTGGGCATGGTCCGCTGGTTACGATGGTAAGTACATCCATATAACCCTAACGCAATTTCAAGTCAAGGAGTTTCCTTTTATTTAGCGGAAGGTAAATTTTTGAAACAGTCATCAACATTTAGATTTACTATCGGTCGAGCCATTATTTGGAATCTTTTTCAGTTGTTGAGCAGGGCGACGATATACAGAGAATAATTAGTGAAAGAACTTTGGTTATCGCAAATCATCAAAGCACCGGCGATGTTCCTATGCTCATGACGACTTTTAATGCCAAGCCAAACGTGCTACCAAATCTTATGTGGATAATGGATAGAGTGTTCAAGTTTACTAACTTTGGTATCGTTTCTATTTTGCACCAGGATTTTTTTATTGTGCCTGTGAGTCAACATTATATTCAACTCCTTAGATTTTCCATTTGTTTTACGGTGTAATGGTAGAAATGATCAAGGTTGCATTTTTTTCTCACTTTGATCATTAGGGTCGCAACAAAAGGGACGAGAGCTTAAGGCAGTTAGAACGACATTTAAAAAAATACTACATACCTCGAGAAAGGAAGTGGATAGTCCTCTTTCCGGAGGGTGGCTTTTTGTGCAAAAGGAGAGATACGTCTCAGAAATATGCCAAAAAGAATAATCTACCCATCCTCGGAAACGTGACTCTACCTAGAGTAGGGGCGATGCAGACCATCGTTGACGTCCTCGGTCCAATACAGAACAATAATTCTCCCGATCAGCGACTAAATAACAGTAATAATTAAATAAGTAAAACCATCGATGGTCGTTCAGTGGCATAAATCAACGCATATTTCTATCTGTTCTGCAGGTGTGGCAATGTCAAAACCAGAAATTAGTTGGATTCTTGACATAACGATAGCATATCCCGAAGGCAAGCCACTGGACTTGCCAACAATTATAACTGGTTCACGTCCACCTTGCGAAACGGTCCTATTTTACAGACTTTTCCCTAGCACAGCGGTGAGTTAATTATGATTCTCCGTGTCATCTCTTAACAAGAAATTAATATTTATAAAAAGTTACTTTATTACACCTGTCTTATCGTTACTATTCGTTGTAGGTTCCGAAAGAGCCAGAATTACTAACTAAGTGGTTGTATGACCGATGGGTAGAGAAAGAAACACTTTTGGAGAACTTTTATAAGCACGGATCGTTTCTAGGATCTCACAGAGCTGGCACTACGGAGGGCTCCAAGATACAACAAGATCCCTTGCGATTCCTAGTCCTTCATTTATTTTTCATAACGTCTAGTTATATACACTACAACTTACTTGCATACGTATTATCCTGCATCTGGTGAGACGTCTTGCAACGATCAAGTGCAGCTCAATCTAGGAAAAGATATACGTTAGACGAATGAAACAGAAATTCCTGCCTTATTAAAGCTCTTTCTACGACAGCCGAGAATCGTGTAAGAACTTGCAAATAAAGTTCAATTAGAATTTTTCTACACTAAATTTATTAAAAGTATTATTACGTCTATTAAGAGCGTTTCCTGCCGGATGTGGTAATTCGAACGCGCACAGTGTCGGTAATGTCCAGGGAAGAGCTAATTACACCTTATAATTTCCATTTGCGTTCTAGGGCATACTTTTAGAAGGGCATAACTTCCTTAGCAATAACCGGCACCCAGAGTTTCTCCTTGTATCATAGGCTTTGCACAATTCTGTACATTATTTACAATATTCTTAGTCCCTTCCAACCTTTCATTTGCATGCTGTTAAAACATCACAATTTGCCTTTTTAGTTACACAATTCTGCGGAGAAGTCAATGGTTGAACGTATTCCACGTGGACGTCACATTAAAACCGCCGTGCAGAGTTAAGGAATTTATTAATTCATTCTAATCGACTGAACAAGAAGTGCTGTCAATAAGTAGCTAAAAAAGCATCAGTATCTAAGGACAAAGCAATGAATGAGTAAACAAACAGGAACCACCTGTACATTCAACAGTTTTTTTTTCGATCTTCGACGTCACTTTTCTTTGAAAAAAAAAAATATATATATACATGTATGCACATACAGAAAGAAGGTCTAATTCATACATTCCGTTGACTACTGCATTATTTCGCATTACGTGTCAATATCGATTGCATCTAAAGATCTGTTATTATTTATAGATACACTTACTCGGCAGGTCTCGCTTAAATTATCGATGGCATTCAAGGCGGTCACTAATCAAACTTGTTCAAGGTAAAAGATCGAAGACTAGGTTTTTATACGTGACGCGAGGTCCCAACATAAGTGATTTTTTATTTCCAGAATTAGTGCGCGGATCCGCGCATGAGTTATATATATATATATATATTTTATCGGAATGAGTTAATTAAATGTTGCTCAAAAGTACACTGTTATGACTCGCAAAGATAAGATAGACATGCCAACGAGAATTACGTAACGTACGCGAGTCTCGTTTAATTTTCTCGCGGATTATCATGCGTTGACTCCGCACCGAGAGGAGGAAGAATTATCGATCGTTTTATTATAAATACATAATCGGGAAATTGAAGAAAGCTAAGGAAATAGCGCCGTCGTACTAATTAAGGAATAAGGAGATTTAATGGAACTCGGCAGACGAGCCTACCACTGCACATTTCCGAACGCTCTTTTTAATTAACCTACCTATATATGCTTACCGATCTATGTGTAGAGCGCATGTTTATTTATTTCGTATTGTTTTAAGCGAGCGTTTGTGATTTCACCCATTAGCGTAGAGAACGAGCTTGCTTCGATTTCTTGCAATCGACAATACCGCAATTACGGTCGTATATTACGGTTGGGTCTTCACGGTGCAATAATCAAAGAATTATAAAGGAGTTACAATAAAAAGAAGGAAAAGAAGAACAAAAGAAACAAACAAACAGAGGAATTCACAAAGGCGACTGTGACACTTAAATTGGCGATAATCATGCATGCGTATGACCGAGACGAAGCAGTTAAAAATTACCTTTCACTGCGTTCGAGAGTTCTACTTCGGGAATAATTTCTAGGATAAAACGATAAGCACGCGTTTTATGGAACGTTGTTACCAATTTGTTACTCGATGCGCTTTTTTTTTTTTTACCCCCATTAATGGACAATAACATTCGTGCATGCGTGCATAGTGCTTGGGGACGTGGAAGAGCCACAATTGATACCTTTAGAGTACGGTGGTATGGATCTTAACTATTAGGGTCAAAAGGTACTAACACATTCCACGCAGCTGAGTCTAGTTCGGCCCGGCTTAAATTAATAGGCGGGCTCGAGCTGAAAACTAGCGCGTATGTTCTTGCTGCGAAACTCATGCTTGACTTTTCCGTTTCCCCATTGGCGCGTCCCCGATTGCTCTAGATTGCAGCCAAGTACGGGTAGTACGTTCCGTGGGGCAGATAATATACATTGTTTCGTTTTTTTTTCTCGCTACATGCATTATTGCTACACGAACACCGATTAGAGATTGTCTACCAGGGACTAGGAGCTAGTAGAGAGGACGTATCGATTCCTGCGCCGCTTAATTTCGCCTCCGGTCTCTAAACCGACCGAAGCCGTACGACCCGTCACTCGTAATATAATTTTATTAGTTTAGTTTAACCCTCACGCTGCGAAACTGGGAGCTTGTACGAACAATCCACGCTACGTGGCGAAAGGGTTGAACGTTCTTGCGAGACGTCGAAGGCGCGCTGTGTATGAGTTTTCCACGCCTAAGGCCACGTGGACTGTAACGGCCTTAAATCGGCTCGACGGTATATTTGTATAGAAGGAATATCCGGAACTTCCTGCACACCTCGTACCTCGCCGTATAATTTGTACACGTGTAGGCTCCGTTATCCCAACTCAGCATTGTATCCGGAGTACTCGTTTGTACACACGCGCTTCTCGGCGATAAACTCTTAACGCATTGCGCAAGCCTCCTGCATCACGCCACCTTCTGCGAGTTTTGATGAAAAACGTGTCAACTTCCTCGGGCCTTGAACTCCGGAGATGAACGGATCGCCGGTGGCGATTTTATTTACCTCCCGGCGGCTAAAGAATTTATTTCCCGCAACAGAGCGGACTCTTGATCTCGCAACGGAGGTTCGAAATCCCCTCGAATTTCCCCGTTCACCTCCGCGGAGATGAACTCCACCCTTATCCGTAGTTTTTATCTGTCACTTACCTATCTAACGCTGTACTGTGATAATGGCGAATCGGCTCTCGGATCTTCTGTCACCGCACTGACCGGCTTGACGTTTCGCGAGGCTTTTCCCTTTACTTGGACGCCGTATCATATCTAATGGACAATTGTAAAACACCGTTGTTAGTTTCCACTGGACTCGCATCTCTTCGCATTTAATAGTTCATTCACGCCGAGAGGACTTTGCGGGTTTTTTCGTACACGGCGACGAATTTCTTCGCCTATCTAGAGCGCGATCCTATCGCGGAGAGATAACGATAAGCTTGCGTGCATAGCAGGGAAGACAAGTACTTCTTGTATCCTTGTATTCCCGCCATGGACGTATGAACTTTGCGACTTTGTATCGACATCCGCCCCCTCTGATTATCTCGGCTCCTTCTCTCTCTCACTTATCTCCACTTTCTCCGCGGAAAGCTGCCTTGAATGTGCGTCACGTTGGAAACGACAATCGTGAGGAAAAGATAAAGATAATACATGGTAGGTTTTCTACTCGAATCTGGCGAACAACCGGGTCGGAGCGATAGTGCAAATTGTACATTTTAAGCCTAACACGTTCGTCCTCGGCTCTGGATACGGGATGAATAGAGAAGAGGGCAATCACTCTTCCATTTTTTGTACATTCACCCACTTGTGATCGCGGCTGATAATTGTAACAGCAAATTGTTGTAACTAAAACTCACGAGCTAAACGATTAATAAACTAAGCATATTTGCACGAGTTTATTACTACTTAGTCGAGAGAAAAGCGCCGGGTAATATTGGTCGGAATCGCACGGGAGGGGAGAAAAAAGAAAATCGCAGATTCGGAGGTAAGTGTATCACGGTTGAGAGAATATACCTATCAAAGTGATACGTTATCTCTTTCCATCCTCGCAAGCCGACTCTTATATACGATCGTCATCGAGAACCCAAACGACACGTTCTTCGTAATGAATTTTTATTTAGGAATATACTTTCTTCAAATCCAACTCAAAGCCGGTCCTTGCCGTATCCATATGTCGTATATTACGTAAAATTATCTATATGCATGCGTATACATACTATATATATATTTATGAAAAAGCAACAATGATGATAAAAAAAAAAAAGAAAGAAAGAAACTCCGTAATATGATTACCAACCATCAACTGTAGAGGCCCTCGGCCCTTCGGGTTTCGGGCGACTCGATAATTAGTATTTAATCCAAAGTATATAATCGGCGTTGAAGCCAACGTGTTAATATTACATGTGTTCCTTCGATCGACCGCGTACTTTAAACGACGGGTTGGACAATTAGCACCGACATTCAACGATTTGACGTCTATCGGCAGCCCAGGTATTCTCTAACAAACTCGCGACGAAAGTCTCGATCGATCCTAGGGGTACATTAGTGCTCGACGAAATCGATGTAACCCGGCCAGGTAAATTGCGTATACGCCTACGCATCCTGGCGAACGTCGCTATCGGCAATAGAAACTCTCTTCTACATCCTAGACCTCTCGCCGACCCTCCTCTCTTTCTCTTAAGTATATAATCTTCGCGCTTATGAATCGCTGCTACGGTTCCGTCCGTCGTCGTCCTTTGACCTAGACGAGGCAGAAGGGAACGGTTAACAAGTGCCCTCTAATTCCTGATAAATCACGACGCATCGTTGCCCTTTGTCTTTGTCGTAAGCTGGGATAGATTTACTCCTGCCCGCGGGTCGTCAACATTGCGCCCGAACAATTGTTAATTAATCTAGGAACGAAGTGACGCGGTTTTGTCGACCAACGCGACATCGGTGTCCGATATACATGTCGCATCTCCGTCGATTTCTAAGCAACCACTCGAGCTACCAAATGGACGGTTAGATATCTAACGACGGAGTCTCTAGAACGCCCCGATTAAAAAGAGCCTTCGACGGCAAAATTAAACCTCTTCAACGGTCAAAGAGAGTGTCCCATTCCTAGTCGTCCATTACGCTTAGCTAAACACGAGGCCAACAACGCTCCCGAATTCTCTAGACTATTCTAACAGAGTCCGTAGTCGACATTAAAAACTCGTTGTCGCGCTCGCCCTCGCTCAACCGCATATCATTTGTTAAGTGTTCGAATCCCTGTGTGGGTGTATGTGTATAAATACGCCGCAGACCCAAAGACAACGAGAGAGCTACCTAGCCTTGGCATTAGACCTAAAGCTTATGCGTTATATGTGGGGTGCAACGCAAACCGGCGCGAACTTCTCGGTAGTTTCCCGGGACGTCGTTCTATATTCCATTAGCTACTCTCTTGCCTCCACCCTAGACTCGTTACAAACTCGATATGCGAAACACCTCCGACGTAGAACTGTCGCTTCGTTCCACCTCGATCTCTCTCTCGTGTGCGCTAGGTCGACCAACGAAGAATATTGGCAGAACCTTGAGGAATCGTCAACGAGTTCTTCCCCCATCTCGCGTATCTTCGGACGCACCACGTATTCGATTAGTACTAGTTTGACGTAAATTAATAAGCACACCGGTTTGTAGAGTACTGATAGCGAGCTCTCGATGAGACCCAAATTGGCAAGTTCGGCCCCGACCTAGCCGGGACCCGATTCTCGAGTTCGCAAGACCAACATTCGCAGGCGAAGTTAATTATTTCGTACAGGACTTTCAAACGTTGACCAATGACGCGACTTCGCAGCAATGTAAAATTTTTTACGCTAAAGGAATCCGGAGGAACTCGAGAGTCGGGTCTCTGGACCAGTCCGACACCTCGTTCAAGACCTCCCAGCGGTTGAAAATCATCGAGGCTCGTTTATGTGAATCCAAGCACGGCTAGAATTCATTGACTGATGATTGTGCTCGTATCTCGTAAGCGAGTCGCGCTCTTATCACGTTTCGATTAGCCCTCGCCTTCCTAACGCGTCCTCCGCTCGTCGTTTTAGGACACGCGCACCTCCCCGGTAGATCCCTCGCAAGGACTGACACGCAAGATGTTAACGAGACAAGGTTGCGAAATAATATTTAGCCATAGGAGTGTTTCGTCGGCGACTAGAATACGTAAGTATGTGAAAGGTCGCTACATGAACTCGTCGTAATCGTCGTAAGCGTAGTCTTCGTACTCGTTGAGGTGGCTGTTGTCCCCCTCGAGCTTCAGCTTGGCCTTGCCCTTCCCCTTGCTCTTCCTCGCCTTCTCGCCCTTCTCTATCTTCTGCTTCTCGATGAACAGGTTCTCCATCAGCGTCTTTACCTTCTTCAAATTCATCGACGACACTGAAACGATCAAGGACCATCAGAGAGTCGGCATTTAGGCGGAGCGTTGTAAAAGGATCTCCTTGTCGATCGGTCGAATCGACAGAGCAGATAAGAGACGCATACGAATACCGACAATTGACTGCGACGTTTTTGATAAGATCCTCGGCGAACTGCGGGAACTCGGCGTGTTTGTTGATCTGGTTGATCTTCAGCCGGAGCGCCTCCCCGAGCTGGTCGAACTCCTCTTTGGTATCTGGTATCATGGTATCCAGACTCGTCGTCGATATTTCCGAAACACCTTTAAATAATAGTCCTCGATTTAGAACGTGTCGGCGAAATACAAATTTCCAGGATACTTTAATTCCCCTCGTTTGCGATACTTTCCACTGCTCTACCGGTATTCCTAATTAAATCTCTGGATGTAAAAAAGGACTCGGGGGCTGTAATCGCCGGTAACTGTCCTAGCAGTGAAAAATATACTCTCAAGTGGGAAATAAAGTGGTGAAGTAAAAATGTCCAGCATATCTCGTTAATAAACAAATAGAACTGGAGCGATGTCGAATGGTCGAGCCTCGAGTTGTCGCGTTAAATTATTAGTAATTCCCTTTTGACTATATTCGGTCGCTTTTGCGGGTAATAATGGTGAGATGTTACGAGTGAATGGAAAGAAAAGAGTAGAAATAAAGAAAATAATGTGTCAATTGATACAGAGCTCATCAGGAACGGTACGGGAGACTGTAAACAAGCACTAGACACAAGGTTGCGTAAAAACTGATACGGACACAACGTTTAGTTTGCATAAAACAGCAACGTTTATTAAAATACAATAACATCATTGACGAATGTTTTTACTGTAGTAAAGCTCGATCCTAAAATCAAGCGTACGCGTTCGCATCGCATACATATCTCTCACTTTCTTTCTCGGGTACGGTTCCTGACGGTATTGTACACCAAGTACGTGGATGCAGACAAGATGAGTCAACGAACAAAAGGAAAAGGCGAGCGAATATAATGTCAAAGAGATCGAGAACTATTCCCTAATGGCTCGTGCTGCGACCGATTTAACGACACCTACACGAAATCATTGACAACCGGCTCGTAATATATCTTAACACGTCGAAAAGAGAAAAGGAATGCGACTTCGTTTTCGCTTTTTAGAGGGGCCTCCGACACTCTTACACAGCACCTGGAAAGTCCTGATAAAAGGGATGACTCCGTCAGCGAGGCAGTTTTTAGTCATTCGAAGATGACCATCGAAGATGCCATTCACCACTCTAGAGAGCATTTCTAAATTGCAGACATCCACTGCGAGCTTAGAGAAAGTGGTCTCCGTAACGCAGTCATCCCTATCGACAAAAATTAGGAATTACTAGATCTATGTGCAAGAGAGCGGCTGTCTTGTCCATTTTTCGACTTTACACAAGTCATGAGACTCTGGCAAAGGAAATAATTCCATTAATGGAACAGTCTCTAGTTCAGGAGATGATCGTTGTAGACGTCACAAGGTTAGGAATGCAAGAGGTATCAGCATTATTTGTACGCTTTAAGTGCGGTAGATAACGGAGAACCAGATGAACAGACTATACGTTACAAAACGTGAGCTCGATGTCATGGTCACACATGTCTCCGAGGACCAACAGAGGTGACCGTGGCTCAAATGTAACCTTGTGGTCTATTCCTTCAGTCTCGGTTAAGTTATGACGAGAAAAATCGAACTATCACTTGCCCGTGTATTTCAAGAAGCATCGAAACGTTTTCACTTTGGAATTCAAGATTGTCGTACTCCCGTACTATTTTCACCGATTCAACGTCAGCAATACCTTTGAAGATTTGATCAAATTTTCTTCACTTCTTAATCGAAATCAATCGATCGCGTTAAATTTGAAATAATACTTGAATATTAGTAACGATTCTAAACGTTTACAGGCGATGTTCAATCGCCATCGTTCTGCATACGTATACCGTGATAAGAATTTAGCTCGTCGTTATATACGTTGACGTTTCAACAAAAGTCCGACGAAAACTAATTCACGTTTCAGTACTTCTTACTTTGACTGATGCGTTTTCTTAGCGCGATGATCAAAAGGCGCTACGTCAAAGGCTGTGAATTTGACAAATTCCGAAATTGCTTATTTGACGTAAGGATAATTAAAGACAGCTTCAGATCGATTTGGCGCATAGAGCGCTGAAGCCACGAAGGGAGGGGGCTATTTCTTTTCGGTTTTTGTCGGTTTACGGGGACTAAAGTCTACAAGATTCGACAAACCAAAGGTTTCCATAGCCAGTCGCAGATCCGCTTCCTCCTGTAGCCTCTGACGTCTGAGTAATTCGGCTCTCCTCTGATCAGGAGTCAGGGTTTCCTCCTTCTCCTTGGCTTTTCGCTCTGCTTCTTCTCGTGCTTTTTTCTAGACAATTTATTAGATCAGTTACATTTTGCCTTTGTTACCATATAACGTAACTGAAACTAAGGTAATAGTAATAATATCAAGACAAGAGCGCGTACACACCTCTCGTTCTTCGATCCTTTCTGCTAATGCTTTCTTAGGTTTTGGCTTAGCCTTCGGTACTTCTGCTGGCTGCTGCTTCTCAACATCCTTTTTTTCTTCCTCAACATCTTCCCAGCTATCCTGTTTACAAACACAAACATCAATCAGTCCATGCTTATAAATGCCGGCATAAGCAATTCTTAACCTATGACAGCATATGTGACCAGTCGAAAGGAGTTTGCAAGGTTAAGTTTGAATGGTGCAGGCCCTTTTGCACACAAAATAGAAAAGGAATATGAAAGATGAAACAAAGACAAGGGAGAGAAAAAGCCAGGAGAGAACGAAGGATCAAGATACGCAGGAAGTTTCCCTTGCACTTGGCATCCTTGCCAAAGTTTGAGAAACTTGGCAGTCTGATCTAGAGAGAGGGAGATATATTAGTAAGGCGGAAACAGTGGGCTAGGAGCCAGGCATCAGGGTCGGAAAAAAATCATTCCTGTCGCACCTTGACTTCCTCTTCTTCGTCCTCGCCTTCCCATTTGTTTGACCCCATCGCGAGGTCCATCTTGGCATCGAAGTTGACCACGTCTGCAGGGCACATGCGAAAGAGAGAAAGTGGTGCAATAAACGAGGCGAAGGGCGATCCGCGAGAGCGGCCGATATATCAATATTTTCTCTAATCGCCAGTAGACATGTTAAGCTTTTAAATCTCCGTTAAACGAAATCAAATACTTACCCCAATCGTCCTCCATGGTGTAAGTTGTTCTCACGGGCAACAATATGTCCAACACCGTCCGAAGAAACATGCCCATCCGACTAGACCTCGAAAAACACGAGTTCGCCCGATGCTGCGCGAACTTGCCCGAATCCGTGCGCCTAAAATCTCTAAAGGCGCATTTCCATTAATAGCTGATCATTCAATTGGAACATTCGAGACATTCTGATTCGCTGGTGGATTCGAGAACTAGGCTTGTTCTTCTACGCTCTGTTCAGTGGCACTAGGGATAACCTTCTGTTTTCTACCGCAGTGCTGTCAACTCATCTCTGGTACTATCCGATAATTGTCTCTTCTCTCTGATACAGAGATAAAAAAATTACCTTTATAAAAAGACACGTATTCTCAAATTAAAAAATATTTACACGTTTAGCTTAATAAATGTGGTAATTTATTTCTTTACAAAATTCATTTTCTTGATATGTTGATAGAGAAGCAATATGCTTGAACACAAGTTTAATAACTGAAATTCTTAATATAAACTCTTCACTTATCTTCACTAGTTATATATAATGTATAAAATCGAATGTATTTGTAGTTAAATGTATACTGCCTTAAATATATAATTTGAACAAGAAGTCTAAAACATAATAGTCAATATCACCTAACGTGGACGGAATGCTTTGTACATTGCTTTGTTACAATTTTGAAATGGAATTCAAAATATTACTATGTATACAACATATACATAATAAACGTTCAGTACTGCACAACTTTACAGATAGCACAGCATTCGAGAAACCCATCTTCTCCGATGTGCTTCCTTTCAGATCATTTCTTCCTGTACATCTGATCTGCTATTTAATCTATCGTTTAATTGAACATTTTTATGTCTCTCTTGTCAAAATACAAAATTAGATTTTTTCGTGGAATTAAAAAGTGCCTGTACCTCAAGTTCCTTACTTGAAGACCAATGTCAAAAATATAATTAAGACTGGCAAGCACAGTACCATCGAAGATTGTAATTGAGAAACTCCATTGCAGGAATCTTCGGAACAGTAACACTCTTCCCAGTAAACTCCATTCTCGTAAACACCCCAATTGCAGACATTAGTGACTCCTGTACTTGCAACCGAGGCACAACGACGAATAACTTGACGCCACCTTCCATCCCCTGATTAAGGAAACATCAATACATATAAATTCTGTTCTACTTCATAAAATGTCAGGGTACCTTCTGCATAAAATATCAAGAAACGTACAAATGAAACCACGAGGACTCTGCTCGGTCAGCTTGACACAAAACGAACCGGGTGCATTTGAGTCTCCACTATTACATTCATTTGGTATATTCCTCTCCTTATCAAACTTTGTATATGCTCCACAAATATCCTCGCCTTTCGGATCTGAATTGGAGCTGCATTGGTAACAACGGATTGCCTCGCATCCTAAAGTATGAATTCAAAATATGTACATCTTCATATCTGAATATAAACACACGCCAAATAGATGGAATTTTTTACTTACCTATATTCATACAGATTAACAGGAAACATGTCCAGCGAAAAATTGGGAAATTTTGTGGCATTGTTTATCGTTTTGTCAGGTAATTAAGGTAATAACAAACAAGTATTATACACTGCTTAACAGTTTTCTACGCTGACATCATTCTCCGTTCCCGGGCGTTGGCTTATTTTCTACAAGTGCTACAAGTGCGTACGAGAGGTGTGTTATTATTTCGCTACATGCGATATCGAATCCCATTGGTTCTTTCCGATGTATTCTCTACCACGATAAGAGGAAATGTACTCAGAATGAATAACACATATATACCTGATCCATGAAAAATATTGCCGTAATTGCACTTCTCGTATAACCTATTTTATTCAAATGCTGTAGATTTTTAAAGTTTCAAATATTTGTTTTAAACGCAGAAGGCGCATTTAATACTAAGTAAATGGAGGGACAAAAATGGAGCAAGAGCAAGCAGCAAAGGTAAACATGTTTTATACTGCATAAAATTCTGGGTTAGAATATTGAAAAACGTAAAGATTGTTATTACAGAAGTAAACATATTAAAGATCAACATAAAAAAAAACCTCATGCCGCAGTTGAATCGACACAACCGACAAAGGATTTAAGCTCTCGAACAGTGGCTGGCAAAAAACTATCAAAGGAGGACTATGATTACCGAAAATCTGATAAGTCTCAATTTGAACATTTGAAAAGGGAAACCGAGGAAATTGATGAAAGATTCGGAGAGCAGTCTCACAGCGCAAAGCATCGACTACTAGTGTCTAATTGGAATAAGTATGATAACTTTGATACAGATGAAGAAGAGCAACCTAAGCAGGATTTTCAGTTTCTTGCAAATGAAAACGTTTCGGCCAGTAATCATTTTGTATTCAACTACGAGAAAACATGGAACTTTGAGACCCCTAAGTACTCTGAGTACTTCTCACTCAACACGGAATGGCTGTCCACCGTCTTTGATTGTATTCCTTTCTATCACTACGTGAAAGTGCCAGAAACTTATTTCACTGTAAGTATTCATATGAGAACTTAAAAAAAGGTATTATTCAAATACATATAAATGTTCAGGTTTCACGATATTTTACATTATAGGATGATCAGCTGACAAAAATTCACAACAAAGCTGAAAATGCAAAGAAGGTTTACTTGACTATGTTAAATAATATGGAAAATGTAGACGATAGTCAGAAAACAGAAAATGCTACAGTTGACAATTTGGTCGATTCTGATGGAGAAGTGGAAACGCTTATTATACCTCAACCAGTGACACCTGTTGAAAAAGATACAAAAGTTGCAGACTTGGAAGAAGATCTAGATTTTTTATTAACTCTTGAAGAGCCCGTTAAAACCACTCCCATAGCTCTTTCACAGTCTGTACATACTCCCTCCTCTGAAGGTATATTTTCAGCACTATACGAATAATTGTACCGAGATTTTCTTAATAATATGAAAGTAAGTCAACTTTATAATTTCAGATACAAGAAACTATCCTGGATCGTCAACCAAATCTATTGATCTGGAAAAATGGCTAGACTCTGTGTTAGATGATTAAATTCTTCAGGCTGCTGTAAGACGAATTAATTACGTTATTAATTAAAATTTTTCAAGATTTATTTATTTAATCTATAATATTGCAATAAATAGTTTATTGCAGTATATATGTATATATATACATGTATATAAAGTTGCATCTCTATATAGTCAATGTGTTTTTAATATAAATGCATATTGAAAAATATTAACATTGCATAAAGAATAGTTGATCTACGCGCTTTTTTAAAGCAATCGCGATTATATCTATAAAAAATAGACGCCCTGATAATCTTTTAAAGGTTCAGTCCTTCAAGTTTCAGAACTTAAGTGACCATTCAAGTAGCAAAAATTATTCTTGCCCGACAATGGGGTCAGTCCTTAAATGTTCTAGTAAGATATTCGTGCATGTAATCGTAGACCACGAGCATAATGGCTCCTCCTGGACCAAGTCGCAACACTTTTGGCAAAAGCCCTTTGTAAAGCGCTTGGAACCTATGAAATAATCAATTGAACATTTCTTTAGTAGCAGAATAGAAAATAAATCTAAGTTAAATCATGGGGTTCTCCAGATTAAGTTTTGTGATTCTGTAAAAAGTAACATACCCTTCCTGTCTGTAGATAACAGCTAAAGTACGAAACGTGCCTTTATACTGTCCTTGTGAACCTTGTATTCGACTTTTCACCACGTCAAATGGAATATTCAAGCATGACGCCATAGTACCAGATGTGAAACCAATGCCAACCTAAAAACCAATGAAATTGAAATTTCTGCCAAAGGAAAAATATTTAGAAGGTAATAACATACTTTAGTGAAAAATTCGACCCAAGGGTCTTTACTTATTGGTATGTAGCCTTTGACGGAATGGTAGAAGCCAAAATAAAATGAATTGAAGACAGCATTTCTCATTATGGTAGCTGTCAGACCTTTGTTCAGCCCATTTGAGCCAAACCCGTGTTTAGTGATAATTTCTTTTGTCACTGCATAAGTAGAGGGGCTATCCTTCATTCGTTTTCTATTTGATTGTAACTTTACTTTAATCACTTCAAAAGGATTGACAAGTATTGCTTCTGTGACACCAGCAAAAAATCCAGCCATTGAAAACGTCTACAATGAAAAATAATTATTCTCTTGGTGTTTGGTATTTATGACCACTCTATATACTGTAAAATTACATCTATATCAAATTTGTTGAACATACCACAGGTGTTGGTGCACTTGCACCAAAAAGGAAAAATTGCTTGTACTGTTCAAATGTGAAGAACTGCGAATTGAAAAAAATATTAAAGGTTGTAAATACCTTTAATAGATGTATTAACAAAAAATGTGCGTTTTGCACTTTTACCTTAACAGCTCGTTTTGGAGTTTCCACAATAATTGGTGGAAGGATCCCTTTCCAAAATGCAGCAAGTCCCTCATTTTTGTACATCTTGACCATACAGTCACGAATCCCTGGAAATATCGAAAACTGAAGTATAATGGACATTATCATAATTTTACAATCCCTCACCTGTGTAATACAAGGGATCCACTTCCTTTGTTTTAATCTGCAGTTGGAAGCGAGTCTTTACCAGATCCATAGGATGCATGATACAAACTTCAACAAAACCAGCTGATCCTCCAGCACCGATTTGGATCGCAGCTTGTTTCAGTAAACCACTCGACACAGCTTTTTCTTGGTGAGCCATTTTTAAATTTTGTTTGTTTTTCTCTGATTTATTAAGAATGCAAGCAAAATTAAAAGTGCCAATGTTTTGATGAGACGAGTCACCTTTTTACTGGATTATGACTAGATTGGGTTATAGCATTAATATAATGCTAAGGTCTAACAATTTCTATGCAAATATTATCACACCTTAGTGATTTTAATTCATTTTGATTATTCCACAATTATTGTTACCTAAAAGAGACATAAAAAATGATTTTATTTCTAGATTTCTAAATTTCCCAACAAATTTAAAAAAATAGTTATAACTACCTAGCAGGAAAGCAGCTGGAAGGCATTCTCAGTTGAACTAAGCAGTAACCATAGCAAGCATTCAGGACTAATTTCCATCGTCTATGCACTTATGACACTATCGATCTATTTTAAGCTTGGCAGTAAGTAAACATATGATCTTACGATTTCACTGTCAGTATAACGTCAGTCCTTTGGTATCACTGCCTTAGGTCCCCACTAAGCATGTTCACTCCCATACCATGCTTCTGCGAGAACTGAATTACCTTCCAAGATCCTTCGAGTGCCAATTTGGGTGACTGCTAAATTCTCACGTCAAAGAAACGGCTTCCAGTGTCGCCGCGAGCACATAACTTACGATATTCCAGGCTATTTTTGTGCCAGTTGAGTGAGATTCTATTTTAGTTACGACGATATTCGTGACTCCTAACCTAGAAAATTACCGGCTTGATACCGGCTCTTTCGTAATATCGACTTTTCGCGACAATGATCCGTTATCACCTCTTTGTCTTCGCAACAATCAGCAGATAACGCAGTGCCTACCATTACTCCGCCTCGCGAGGAATTCTGAGCTTATCGGATCGATCGCATTGTTAAATTCCCGTTTTGCTTTGCCGCCTTTCCGCGGTTTGATTTTCCTTGGTGCTGCTATCAGCCGATTAGCCAAAGTTGAGACCGTCCCTGTCTGACAAGGTTAGGTAAAAAACCCTAAGTAATTTACGTAGTTTTTTTTTACAGTAAATTACTTGGGTATTTTATGTCACGAGTTTTATATGCGATATAATTACGTGAAAACGGGACTTTACACAAGATTTGAACGTATAACCTATAATAGGATTAAAGCCTTCAATGTTAAAACATGGATACAAACATCGAAGAGGTTTTACAAAAGATTGGCATAGGACCTCGACCTGTGGATGATCCATTCTTTGATGATTCGTACAAAATTTGTAGAGTTTTTGAAAGAAAAGGAATCACTGTTGAAGACGACGAGGAGTTCAACCATCCATTGTTAGTAGTGTTTCTTATCACGTAATACACCTTGTGATAGACCTTATTTTTATAATGTAATTTTTTTGTGTACTTTTTTCAGCATGAAAACATTTCCCTGTAGTATATTTGGATGCAAAGCCACGTTCCAAACATTGGTTGACTTTGAAATTCATTACAATGGTTGCCATCGTTACACGTGTATCGAATGTAAGAAGATATTACCGACAGCTAGAATATTGGAAATTCACACCGAGGAGAAGCATGACAGTTTCTTTCAAGTTGCAGCTAAACAACGTCCAATGGTAACTATATGCTTTTGGATATTTAATCTCATTACTTGTATTATTCAGAATATTGATTTGATTCTAATTTTATTCTATGTTTCAGTACCAGTGTTTTGATTCAGCATGTAACTTGAAATTTGAGGATCCCACCGTGCGGCGGGAGCATGGCATAAAAGTACATAAGTTTCCAAAAAATTTTCGATACGACGAGGCAACATACCATAAGAATCACAACGAGAAACTGGATAAAATGGAATGTGAGCAAGCAGTAAAGAATCAACAGACTTCCAAGAAACATATAATTCGATTGAACAAAAACTCTACAAAAACATTTATAAATAATGCTTCAGTGACAATGCCAGTTAATCGAACTACTACTCCACAAAATGTCCCTTTGGAACCAAGTACTCCAAATAAGATATCATCTTCCTTAGTATTTATTCCTCGTCAAATAATGCAGAAATCATATTCAAAAGTGCTTACAAAAAAGGAAGATTCAGTAAAGAATGTTCTTGAAACTGAAACCATGATGGATTTGGCTGAATCGCTACCTGAATAAGTACCATATAATTAATTAATTAATTTAATAAAAATGATTTTATTTGATAGTGACTGTTATCTTAAGTTATGCTACTCAATAGATTTATAGGCCATATAAGGCTTGGAACAATATAAACTGTGATAATTCAAAGATAGAGCAGGGTTTCTTCAGTGATTACAATAAGGCACTCTAAACAATCTTTGTAAAAAAATGATATTTATAATAAAGGACACGATCATTTTTATTATAAATACATATTAAATATTGCAACAGTCTTCATATGTACAAGGAAACATCGGTTCGAGAACACTCATTACAAGTTAATGTAAAATCTTAATCTCTACAATTTCAGTATTTACAGATTTACTTACTACTGACTAAATGACCCACATTTTTTCTATCTCTAAAAGAAGTTGGCTCTCTCCAGTACAAAAATATTCTCTTACGAAGTAAAAACGTCTCACGGAACATTCCTTAAAAATGTAAACTTTGGACCAAGCTTCGTTCAACTTTAAATCTTTCGATACTCCTGAATCATTCAGAAACCAGCGACATTTCTTCCCATTTTTTCCAGTAACGAGCGAATTCCTTTTAAGTGAGCGATTCATACGTTCAGACTTTTTAGCCTATCGAGTTCTAATAATTGTTACTTTTTATTCCAGTCTTAAGATCCGGCAGACCCCGAAACTTCGAATGCAAAAAATTTTGAAACTACACAATCCCTATCAATAATCCAACACCAAAGTACGGGATACTCGGAACATATTTCGAAAGGAACGCGCTCCACAACTTCAGTCTACAGTCACAGTAATTTGCATCGTCAAGACCGTGGATACCATCGACAGTACCGAAATCAGGATTTTCATGCATCACCAGGACCCGCAAATGCCGCTCAAGGACCACCTAAAATCAAGTCTACCGCCTAATCCTAGATTGTCCTAAACCTACTTAATGGTATCTCACTTTCCTCGGAGATTCTCACGTGCACCCTGAAAGCGGTACCCTGACAAGGATCTCTCCCTCCGCTATCGAGTAATCAACTTGACTTGGATTTTCTCCAGAGAAAGAGCGTCTAAGTCGAGTAGACCATACATCTAAGCTTGGCAGTCTCGTTCCTAAGCGCAACCAGTTCATACTTAAGCTTCATGTTTTCCTGTTCCAGGAAGGCAGCCCTGATGGCGATCTCGTCCTCCTTGGCTCTCCTGGCGTCCCTGGACCTCTTCGCAGCTTCGTTGTTCTTCCTCCTTCTCTCCCAGTAAGCGGCGTCTTTCTCGTCGACGGTGCTGGTGGGTAAGCCCGGACTCTTGGAGGCCCTTCGCATTTTGATATTGGTACCGTCATTGGTCCTCCTCACGCTTTCCAGCATCCTCTTCCGGAACTCCGAGTACGCCTCGTTGGAGTTTTGGTCGTACATGAGCTCGGCGGTGCCCATGGTCAACGCAAGAGGATCCTTGGGGTAGGCCTTGAAGGGCCTGGGCGCTTTTTTACCGACATCGGAGGATGCCGAAGACTGCGACACTTCCTGGGAGCCTGCGTTGCTGGTTGCAGGCATCTGGATCGGCTTCGTCGGCAAACTGGACACGTTGCTCTGCGTCAGGAAGGCTGGCAGGACTTCCGGAGGCACAGGAATCGGGATTCCCACCGGCATCATCGCAGGGTATGGATGTCGGTTCATGATTTCTGGGCTTGCCGCGATCACCTGCTTGTAGATCGGCTCGTACCTCACCTTCTTCGGCGAGTCCGTCTCCGAGGGCGGGGTCACCATGAACGTGCGACCCTCGAAGGGACTTTTCCTTTCCTGGTCGGACAAATGACTCGATTGCGGCTTCTCGCTCATCGAGGAGCTTGAAAGCTCTTCCAGGGGGGTCGTCACCCTCTCGACTGATGAGTTCGGCTTTTTGCAGGACAGATCCAGGATTGGCGGCTCGATCGGCAACTCGGAGATTTCTGGCTTTATGCTCGACGTGAAGTCCAAGGCCTGCACCTCGGCTTGTGATTGCAGGTACGAGGGGTCCATGTTTACTTGCCCTTGGAGCGAGATCCTGGAAGGATTACAAGTTCATGTAACGAGGTTTGTCGAACTATCGGTTACCTTGATTTTTAATTACTAGGGGAATTAGACAATTAATAGCCCGACTGTAATATTCTATCTTATTCGTTAATCGACCACTATTTTGTTCTTTGCTACTCCCTGCGTTAATTCAAATTTGTTAATTTTGCGTACGCGAAACAGAGGTCAGGAGACAAAAGAGAATTGTGAGGTGTATGCCGCTATCTAACACGACGAAAATATTTATACCGAGGGTTACATCACCGATTGGAGTCAGAAGTCAATTCCCCGATATATCCGACAAGATACTTCTTACGTGAATTTTTCAAAAGTGTGTAAAAACTCCCCGAGAACGGCATTTGATTTTTAAGGATGTACTAACTTTATTTATGCTTATACATTCAACGCGACGTTTCGGGAATTCTTTTAATTCCGGTTTTTTATTTTATGGTCGTGTACCGTGGGTTGAAAGAGTATTTTTGTAGCGTAATGAGTATCACTGATTTTTTAATGTGGTCTGTGTCAATTTCAGGGAATACTGTCTTACTTTGCGAGGAGTCCGGAAAATCCGAGGTCACACCGCTAGCACTTGAACCACAGCACTGATCGAAATTTGTCCTTTCTTCCGTACTTTTGGAAGTTTTCCCTCGTCACGACCGCGCGAGCTTCCTTCGACGAGTACTCGGCTTTCGCTCGTCGAACCTCTCGAACCGATTTTCCAAAATCGTTTACCGAGGGAAGGGGTGTCCTTTGGCTTATATACGTTCAACCCTTGCGAGGTCGTGGGTAGGAGGCTTCTTAGAAAAATGGAGGGGTAGGCTTGCTGACCATTGATAGTTCTGGTGGGGGGTGCACGCGTCCACTGCTTTTCCGATTTTCCGAATTTTCCCCCGTATTTCCGACTCGTACGAATATGCAAAACATGTTTCGCCACCCGTTAATAAACTCTAGCCAATGCGATGTGTAATTTCAAACGTTTAATTGAAAACATTGAACGGCAACAATTGATCGCACCTCTTATTAAAGGTAGATAAATCGATCACTCCCTAAAAATCGCAGGTGACAATGATTCCATTTATTAATATCAATACTTGAGTTTGCATTTAATTTGGAAATTATGCTTGTTGAAGTGTTCGTTACTGTGATTAGAATCAGATTATACCAATGAATGTATTCGTAGAGTAAGCAGAGCTCTGGGGTAGGTGTGCACCGAATTGTTGTATCTCTCGGAGAATATTGTCATTACGGGCAATTTGTGTCGGGAAAATTAGTCTTAGTAAAGGGAAGAAAAAAGAAAAAAAAAAAAAGCGAGCACTTGTAAAAGCGATTAGTAGGCCAAGGTGTGATGGTTGTTACGGTAAAAGACCGCTCCCTTGACCTCTCATCCTTTATTGTCGAGTTTACAACACCGCACCCCAATAACAAAAACCCACCCCATGCGGGGGGTCCTGATCCTGCAATTTCTTAACAGCCTCGAATAACCGTTCAAAGGCAGCGAAAAAAGAAATCGTAACGTCGGATACTCCAAGGAAGGAAAGTCCGCCAAACCGCACGGATTTCCAGGAGCAGGGAAAATATAAGAAAAAGGAAATCCAGCGAAGTCCTGACACTTTAAGAGGTGCCTTATTGCCGTACTTTTTGAAAGTTCGACGCGTAATTAAAACTAAAGCATATTAATCGAATTTATTATCATTCCAGGAGACTGTTTCCTGTAGGTAAAATTTATACAATTCAATCTGAACGTGGGAGTCGGGAAGAGAGGCTTTCCTAGTCAGTCCTGACTGAAGTGAGTTTGCGCCGTCGACAAATCCCAATAAATTTTATTAATCCCCGAGAGCCAGGACGAATATTACCCAAAAGTCCGCTCCTCCCACTCGGGCTTTATCCAGGAAAAGTGTGACATTTAGAAAATTTGGTCATTCGTGAAGTACGCCGAACGGTGGCCGAGGAGGCCCTTGCTCCTCGCCGACCGGAGGGTATAGAATTTGCCGGTGCTGACTTAACCCTTTCTCCGCCGTATTTCAAGCCCTTTGTTTCTCGCCCTGGGAAGATTTACGACGGGCCTTCGGCCTCCGCCGAACCACGTGATCCGCGAATTTGCGTAAAAGCCGCCATAAATCGTCGCGCGTTGCGAGGAGAGAAATTTGCGACACCGGGGAGGAAAGAGTTCCCCGGGCCGGAATTCGACGATGATCGAGACAACCAAGAGGCTTCCATGTGTCACCAGGAACGAGGCTCGGAAATCGACTTTTGGGGACATCAACGGCCCATTTCTCGAGTCGTTATTTATTGTCCCGGTCTGTCTTCTAGAAGGACCCCGGAAGATCCTTCAGGACACAAACGAGTTGATCAGCTAACGCGTGTCTGACGAACGACGCTCTCATTTTCCATGGGCTCTTCTTAAAGAAAATCGACCTTTATGGATGACGTTCTTCGTTCTAATTCTCGGCCGGTTCATTAGTCAGAAACGTCGCAAAGTGGCGAGTGAGGTCGGCAATAGGAAAATAGACATTAACCAGGAACAGGGAAATTATTTCCACTATTGGGTCCATATAATTCAGAATTTATTGATAACATAGTTATACAGCTACGACTTATATTAACGATATTAATGTCGTTTTATTTTGTCATTCCTAGGAGACTGGCAACACAAGTCGGCGTTTCTCGCACATCGTGGGAGAGCAAAGGAAGCGAAGATGGATCCTGGAAGGAGACGTCACCGTGGGCGCGTCTTATTATGTCGTTTTCCCATAATCACGGGAAATTTAAGTCCCCGAGGTCGGATCTTCCCGTGGCCCGGCTGAAAAGCCCTTTCCCAGCGGAAAACTCTGGGGAGCTCTCATTCAGGGAGCCGCCTCTTTTCCATGTATACAAATTTTTGCTCTTTTGGCCACATAACCCAGATTTCTATGGTGCGTCCGACCGCAACCCGTTATTCCCATTTTCCTCGGCTCCTGGAGGGATGAATGCGTTCATTTGCATCTGCCGACCTGACAAACGGATGCCCTAACGGTGCCATGCACGGTGGATTGGCAAACGCCCGCCAATCTGGACCCGAACCTCTCAATTTCGAGTTAGACGTAGTTTGCGGACCTGGGGAATTGGTCACGAGCCGTCACGTACGCCTTAATGCCGAACGAAACGATTTTAAAATACCGTATGGATTTTTCGCACGTCTCCGTAGTTCCCAAAAGACGTCAGAAAATTCCCTGTAAAATTCCCTCCGCGTTGCCCGCTTTTACTTATGTTTATTTAATAACTGGGAGATTGGGGATCGTTTTAAAAATGTTTTCGCTGGGCGGAATTACGTTTCTAAATTATACGGGACTTGGGAACACCGTAGGATAGATATTTCGGAGTGGGACTCGGGAACGAGGTTCGAAGGCGTACGTGATTTCCAGCCGACGATGCAACGCATCGCCTCGAGACTTTAACGCAATCGACGAGCTATCCGCGATATCTATTAGTTCAGTGATCGGTAGCTGCGTTAGATAACTCCGATGACTAAGTCGAAAATCCCGTGGCACTCGGATCGGTGAAAATATTCCTGTTGCGTTTCGACAATGGAAAATATTCCGCGACCGGGAAATTAGTGACGCAAGTGTCCACTCGAGTTTATCTTTAACAAACAAGTCAAATGTCACCGTACTCGCTGTCGGAGCTCGACGGAAATCTGTCCCTATTCTTCCCGAGAATATTTCCAAAACTAAGCGAACGCCCGAAGGAATCATTTATTATGCCGGCTCATTGCTCAACTCCTAAGAACGCCCTGAGTATTCTCTAGACCTCCATTTTGTCCGCAGGAAGTCAAGAATGGACTTTAAAAAGGGAGGAAGTCGGAGGCTTGGCATCCCCGGAGGTCCAGCCTCGCCCGGGGCCCATAAGGGTGCCGAAAAAAGAGGGAGATCCGAAAGCTGGACGCACATTAAGACATCCACGGGGGTGAGCAATTATTTTTCGATTTATCTTCCCGGCCACCGGCCAAGTTTTGCCAACAGACTTTCGAAATCTGCATACTTCCGGCCCCGAGCGAGCCCTTTCTTGCAGGAACCCTTTATCCGTTCCCTTTTCTAGCTGCTTTATTCCAGAAAGTGCGTTCCCGAGGCCTTCCCCGGGATTACATGATCCAGCAGGTTGCAGGCAACGGTAACACCCGCCACCCTCGGCATTTTGCAACAATGTTGATATCGAACTCGTTAATTTCGGAAAGGTCTCGATGAGTCACGGAATACTGCCTGGAAATAAGTACGTATTAATGCCGATAATTTACCTGAGGGTCCATTTTTATGGTTCAATTGTAGCATGACCAGTGTTAACGTTATTTAGGACAGCCTGAACGGTTCACCAGGTTCGAGACTGGGCCAGTTACCGGCGAAGACAGGGAAACGCCGCCTGGACGAATTCTGCACAAAGGGAATAATTAGGGCTGACGACTCAGGTGTTGTCACGCAGGTTGCGCCAGGAATTCCCCTCTTTACCTGCGCCCTGGCCTTTGATAAGTCACAGAGTGCGTGATCTCGAGTACGCTACCTGGAAGCCAGGTAGGCTTCCTTTCATGGCCGCTTCTTTTCGAAAAGCTTCGGGAAAAGCCCTCGCCGTGACTGCTGATCTAGACAAAAGGCGGTGCAATAATTTCGTTACAGTTACGCGACCTTTATGTACTGGATAGTTAGTCCCTTTTCCTGACGATTCTCATTCAAGGACTAGCTCTCCATCATTGGAGTTTTCCCCGTTCATCATCGCGCCGTTTAAGCTTTTCGCTCTTGATGTGAAAGATGTGATCCGAAAGCTCAATCGTTCATGAAACTTTATTCCGACCTGGGTGTATCGAATCCTTTCGAACTTTACAACGTGAATATGGAAAGCCCAAGGTAGGTCCTGAAACTCATGAAATTAAATTTTTTATAAAAAATGTTCAAACATCTGCAAAGAAATTTTCAAAGAATTAAAATTTCCTGGGTGTCAGGACCTTGTTTGTAGCTTCCATATTCACATTGTCAAGTTTGAAACGATTCGGTACCACTAGGTTGGAAAATAAGTTTCACAAACGAGACCTCTTCTCGTCACTTTCACGTCCCCTTAAATGTGCCAACGACGCCATCGGCCATTTTTCTTTTCCTCGGCTCGTGCAAACTCTGACTGAAAATCTTCGTTTTCGGTCTTGCCAAGGCTTCCAGAAAATACTTATCATCCCGAGAGTTCGTCGGACGAGGTTTACCAACACTCTTCGGGCCACTCGTCCCGGTGTTCGCAAATTGACCCTCTTCGGGGTCTGGTCTTGCCGAAGGGGCCGAGGACTCCCTCAGGACGTGAAAAGGGAAGCGGTAACGGGAACTCTGGACGTCCGGGACTTAAAAGCGAAAACCGCTATTCAAATTTGACAAAAACTCGGCGGTACAGATCGAGGTGTCCGGTTACTAAGCCGCAAGGCAAAGGGTTGAAGAGGAGGCTGTCTCTGCTGGAAATGGAAAACATCCACCACTCTGTCTCTCCGTCCGTCCAGCTACCCCTGCGCCATTTTTCGGCTCGTGCCGATTGAAATTTACTGCCGGACTTTATCTGAGGTAATCGAGATCCATCTCTACCCTAACCAGGAGTCTCGAGTCCCACTTTGCGTTTCAACCGTACGGTTTAATCGACATAAAGCATTTTCACATCCCGTTTTTTGTTTTTTTTTAATATTCCGTGGAATTTTATCAGATACATCGAGAGCTCGGTTAGTTCCATTCGACGCTCTTTGTAGGTACTGCAGATATTTAATTGTATTTCGTTCATAGAGGCCTAATAATGGGTTACATCTGCTAATTACAGATGATGCTTTCCTCGAGGCAGACACCTTCGAAGAAAGGAAGGATCATCAACGGGGTTATTATTGGAAATTGGGGCACCAAGGGAGGAATGGCCGGTCGTCGTTGCGGAGCGTCTACAAAGGGCGGCGATTATTGCGGAAAACCATAATAAAGCGAGCGAAGGTGCCCTGGCCGTGGAGCACTTTCGGCTCCGTCCTGAAAAGGACCTACTCCTTGTAAAGGTGACGTTACAGGGTCAGGTCGGACGCAATAAAAGCTGGATTCCCGCACTTTCGTCGACGCACGACTGCCGTTTATTACGGGAACCGTCCCAGGTCCCGAAGGTTTACGAGCGGGATTAAGCGAGGAGCTCGATTATGGCGTATCGGATTAACTTTGCCTGACTTCAGGAACGGTTTAAATGAGTTAACGACGCACTCCGCTTGGCAAATCGCCTCCTGTTTACCCTCTGCAAATTATTATCCGGATTAGAAAAACTCGACTTTTCCAGGAAGTCATCCTGGAAGGGAGCCTCCGCACCCCGTAAGTCGATTGGCGGGGTGGATTGCATTTTCCAAGGGTTCCAGATCTTTACGGCAACGCTCTTTTACGGGGTCTCCTCGTAGGGTGTTTCCTAGACCTCGCCTTTACCTAGGATGCCGTTTAATAATAATCCGTCGCTATGGTATCGAGAAAAAAAAAATGGTCACTTTTTGCTTAGCTCTTCGCTTCTCACGAGAAAAATTAAATTTCTGATGTTTCCGCTGGTTTTCCTTTATAGTGATATTGGGATGTGGAAAGTCTTCAAGGATTCCCCCTGCACATGCCCGAAGGGAAAGCGGTTAATTAGACGTAGAATTTACGCAACGGTTGTCGCAATCTCGACAACCACCAGGTTACGTGCCGAAGAAATTTCAAAATCAGGAGGAACGTGACGCACGTTACGGAAATCGCTGACGCCGCCCGCGGGGGTGCGGGCCTCTTCTGATCTTCATCAGCGGCGACCCTCGGCCATGGGGATGACCGTTTCTGGGTTCTCATCCCGTAAATAAATGACATCTCCGTTTTCACGAGACTACCTCCTCTGAAACGGTACTAGAAAGTAGGTAAACCCACGTCCTACCCTCTTACTAAATTGAAGATTACAGTTCCATGTTGCGTGTACAGAATTTCCAGACACGTTTGAGGCGAAAATCAAGAACGCCTAAAAATGCGTATTTCCCCTGAAAAAACTTGCAGCCCCTCGGACGATAGACCAATTTGTAGAGAAGAACCTTCCCCGTCGAGCTGCAGCGACAGCAGGTGAAATTCTTAAGTCTCTTCAGCATTTCCAACAATCTTGACATGAGAATTCTAGATTAAACGGTTAAACGAGAGTTTTTTGTAGAAGCTGGTTCCTAGGTCGGATCTACTGCATTTCCCGGGTGGAGTTCTCGCAAATTCCTTTGTTCGGCCAGAAGTCCAGGTCCGGGTGAGAGCCTCTGGCTGCAAAATTTGGAGATGTTGGTCAGCATGTCATATGGTCAATAGCCGATGGCCTTGTGGGTGGACCAGGGTGCAGATGCAGGGCCCTAGGAACAACCCTTCCGTAATAACGTCCAACGAAGGGGCTGTGCGCTGCCTTTTTCCATTGTGTGTGCCGACGCCCAGAACGCATTGTGCATCCTGATGCATAAATGCATCCTGGGTGCGAGCGGCAGGAGCTACGTAGCTAACGGTACTGGACGACGTGTGTGTCACGTCGAAATGTGTGTCAAAAGCTCTCCGATTCGTGGCGGATTTACGGTAAACCGTGACGTCCTAGATTTCCCACTCGGCGAATTGAAAACGTCATTACGTTTTCATTAGTGTTCCGGGCGACATTTATTGGTGCACGAGGTCATGGACGTAATTGTAAATAATTGTAAATAATTGTTTATTATCATCCTCCGAAATCATCTCAAGCCACTTGCAGATAGTGCCATCCCGGGTGCAGGCAATTCGATCGTACAAATATTGGGCGACACGTCGAGGAGGAATTTCGAATCCTAATTCACTTTGGAACTTGCTTCACGACATGCGGCAGGTCGTACTTCCCACGCACGCACTTTATCTTCACGCCAGGAGTGTCCTGTAATTTCCCCACTCTGCAGAGCACGATATTGTGTTCCTGGAGATTGTGTCCGATTCCTGAAACGGCAAATCACAGGAGATGTAGAAACTGGGATACTTGGTTTACTTGAAATACCACATGCAGTTTCTTTTTTTTTTCTGCCGTTCGTGAAATTGGTAGTAAGCCGATTATTTCAAATCGTATTACCGGGGACGTAGGCGACCATTTCCTTTCCCGAGGAGAGCCTCACTAACACGCACTTCCTGTTCGCAGAATTCGGCTTCTTCGGCTTCTTGATGACCGCCCTCAGGACGACGCCCTTGGCGAACGGCTTTCCATCGAGTGGCTTCCTTTTTATATTGACCTTTTTATGGGGACCCCTTAGATGCATCTGCAACAACGTCGATCCGTTTCTCACCTGCTGCAGACCTGCGGTACAGGAAAGGCAAATTAAAAGGTAATGAAATAAACAATACATCAATAGAAATGACCATTAGTTCACGTTGGCGCCACTCGAGGTCGCTGGACTTCTAAACGAAATCGACTGCTCGTTAAGTCGGCACTTTTCACCCGCTAAATTCCTCTTTAAGACCGTTTAATCCTTAGGCTTCCAAACGAAAGCGACTTCGAAGTGGTCGACACACTTCACCTTGAATAACCCAATTGTTACTCAACAGTGCCGGGGTTCCGGAGATTTCGAAAACGGCGCTCTCACCTCGAAGTCCTGCGACCTCCGATTGGTGTCAACTTCGAAGACTTATAGATTCCGATCTTTGCGTCGACGTAATCGATCAAAGCTGGACGACGTTCTAACCGTTAAAGAAAATTCCAGGATTCCTCGAGATTTCCTGCGAGCAGGTTGCGCGACAAGGAACGCAAATTGGGGATGGTCGAAGGGGAGGAAAAGCCATTGTGAGGGGAAAGGACGAAAAACGCGGAGCAGGGACTTTGGTAACGGTACCGGGAAGCCGAGAACTCTTTCGCAAATAATAATCTTGCGGCCCTCGACAAAAAGGACACCCAGCGTGGACCCTGGGACGAGGATATCAAATATGACGAGCGCTTGACATCTGCAAGCCGCTCAGAGTCCTTTCCTGGTCGAGCGTGCATAAGCTTATTAAGCAACATTGTCGTAAGGGAAGGTCCTGCGGAGAGTGGCCAGGCTGGACAACGTCTCGGGATGGACGAGTCTCTTCTTTTTAGAATCCTGGACAGTGGGCTCCCCTCGAGGGTTACCTGTCGACTTCCTGGTGACAAAGGAATTTCATCGCCGCGAAGGAACTCGCCCTGAAAGCGGGATTCCTTCTAAAGCAAGTCACCGGTCTCGTTAGTTAATAACAGATGACATTTTTTGTTTTTAAATTATAATGTATTTCCAACAAACTGTAAGGATAATACCTAAAGCTCCTTCGTGGGATTTTTTTCATTTATGTTACGCTGCGACTCGCGATGCTCGCTTAGAAAATTAAGGAAATTAGTTAACGTGGAACGCGTGGAAAGCTTTTCCTGCAATATGGCGCGTCCGAAAACCGGCAATTCCGGGGAGGACTGTACCATTGTTGTTCATTTCGAGATCTAGCTGACCACCGTCCGTCAATGCGACAGATGTCCAAAACCTGGCGCGTCGCTAATCCGACCTAACTTGGACTTAACTGAGCCAAGAGACCAGCAGAACCCATTATATGCGGGAAAGCCAACCCTTTTCGTAAGATCAATGCGCAAGATTACATTGCGAAAAGTTTTCGACATCGCGTTGCGCCTTTGTCGCACTTCCCGCAAGCCTCCAGGGCGCGGGAAATGATTGTTGGAACAGCCGTGGTTTTTAAATAAAAAGGGAACCCAGGAAATCCCCAAGGAATCTTCGTACATCCATTGTATAACTTCGCCGCAACTTCCCCCAATGTTAAGCGAAGAGGTGATCTTAAAAGAAAATCAAGAATTACCGTTCGTTCCTAAATAATAATTCTTAGCTATCCGAGATGCGATCTTATAAAGTGCATTGGAAAATTATGTTAATAATGGCGAGACGAGCTAGTGGCTTTGTATAAGTTATTAAAAATCATTTTCTTGATCTCGTCCGATAGAGAGATATTTTTGCGCCGAGTATAGGGTGACTAGAAAAAATCATTCAGAGAGCGGGATGATTTGGCTTGGAAATAATCTGGCGAAAGCGGGCATTGGGGAAATAAATGTTGCGGTGGACTGTACCTATCGTAGTGGTCTGTCAACTGGTCAACCGCAAATGGACATGTCACCCCCCCAATTCCCACCGATTTCGCCAGTGGTCGTGGCTATTTTCCTGCCGAATCCTTTTTCCGCCGTGGATCCCTTTTTGCATTTCGAGATCTTTCCGTAGGGATCAAAGAGGTAAACCTGACCGACCGCGAGCGTGCGCTTTGGCCGGCCTGGGGCATTTTCGCAAAAGAATACGAGGAAACTCGACCGAGAAACGGGGTGGAAAGTGGTCCAGATTCCTCTTTCAGGTGACTACCCTTTTCTCGGCTATGAAAGATACCTATCTCTCGACCGCGCGTGGAAACTCGAGATGTCACCAGGCTCCTTCCAGTTTATTTCGTTACAGTTTCGGGAAACGCAAATACAGCCGGCGAGAGTTCCCACATTCTGCTCTCCATGAGACGCAAATGGGTCACTGTGTCAAAAAGCTGCTTCCTTCGGACGTTTGTGTTTGCAGCGGTATGCCATTAATTATTCGCTACTTGGTATCAGGAAACGACAGGATTTTCATTTATAAGAATAAGTACCAGGCTAATTCGATGTGCACCATCTTTGGATGCGATAGCGTTTTATGATTTGTTGGAAAACTACCTTGGTAATATTTTTTTTATGGATTTTAGGTTTATCCAGAATGGTATGAATTGTGAATAATCAACGTGTACGAGCAGAACATACCTTGTTTCATATTCTGTAAACATATCCTTGTCAGAATCGATAAACCTCCTAAAAAATAAAACGTCGATATGTATCCTTTTAAAATTTAGAAAACTAGAAATGCGTTATTTGTGCAATATAAAATTACCTTGAACAGAATTAGTTAAGTATGATCTCGCCTGCATTGACGCGTTTCCTGAAAAATTAGGATGTTATCGTAGGTATAGTCGCAACGATAGTTCTGGATTTGTATTGAACTTTAGGCCTGACAATACATTATGACACATTAAACCGATGTGAACTGTTTAAGTACAACGGAATAAGTTTTATTTTATTCAAACTATCGATAAATTGATGATTATTTTAAAGCAGGGTGAAAAGTGATGCCGAAACAGAGGTTAGGATGTAAATTATACCACATTTTTATATAAACACTGAATTACCTTCAATGGAATTCCTCGTGAATATTCTCGCCAAACTTGATATACCCCTCGTAATTACACTCATGACTCTATTTTTTAATCTCTCTTCAAATCAATTCAATTTTATTTCAAGTTAGCGAGAGATTTCGAAATTTCTCTTCCTCACCCGACGACCGGCGCTCCTCCAGTCGGAAAATGTCGGAACTACGAACTGCAAAGGAAGTCAGTCGATAAAGCAAAACTCTGTAGCCAATAATGCCTTAGAAACGATCTTTACTTTATTAATACCTTCTTCACATTACAATGAATTACTCGTTATCTCCTCAATGTTGAGTAACAATCCACTACATTACAATATCGGAAGAAATGGTCGAACGTGCAATCGTCTTTTACATCATCACGCCACGGTAACCGTTCGGTAAAGTTTCGCGAGTGTAACGCTCTTCTACCTCAATTTGCGGAAAATCATAAATTACTACGGAGCTATGGCGAATACATTACTAGAGCACTAATTTATCCTGCACGAGTCGGCGAAAGTACAAAACTTACAAGATATTAGGAATTATACAAGATTTAGTTAAACTGTAATTCGCAGCTCCAGCCTGCCCGTTCGATCCGGATTGGGATTCACCAACCGTTGTAGCCGCCTAAGGTATTGCCAAGCCCTTGTCCATAACCAGAGCCATAACCGGAGCCATAACTGGAGCCATAACCGGAGCCATAACCGGAGCCTAAACTGGAGCCTAAACCAGAGCCTAAACCAGAGCCTAGACCAGATCCCAAACCATGGCCCAGGCTCAACCCGCCATGCCCAAACGACGACGACGACGATCCATAAGAGCTACCGTACCCGTGCGACAAGGGAATCGGTGCACTATATCCGTGAGAAACTGGAGCCGATGCATATCCGTTACCCAGAGAGTATCCGGATCCTAGAGATCCATGTCCGAGTCCTGCGCAGAAATAGGTGACATTAATTTCCCCCTTTACAAGAAATACCAAAGCGACGATCGCGAGCCCAACTCGCGATTAGACTAGAAGGTCGGTGCCGCGGTATACCCTTTGTAAATAAAAAATACCTTGACTTCAATTTCAGATAAATCAACGTTGCAAATGGATGCACGCAGAACCAGGGAATTGGAATACCTATGGTTTGTCGTTTAACTTTAATCCCATTTTGTATTTTACGTTCGAGTAATTACGATGCAAAATATTAATTCCAGGAATTAAGATGGAAAATATGCATTCCAGAAAATGTACCTCCGTAGCTGCCTCCGTATCCACCGAGTCCACTCAGCCCACCGAGGCTTCCGAATCCTCCTCCGTATCCACCGAGTCCACCGTGATAACCACCACCATACCCCAATCCGGACAGACCTCGTTTATCCTGTTTTTTCGTCTCCAATCCTTCCTGGCCGTACAATGGCGACGCCAGGGCGAAAATAAGGACAATTACCTGGAACGATGATTCAATTTTCTATGATTTCAGAGTTCCCTGGAGAAATTCAGGATGTACTCACGAGAGATTTCATGGTGGTGTAGGACGGTGGGCAGATCTACTTCTGGGCTGAGACTGATGCAGACGCCACAAGATACACTCCCTTTTATACCTGTGAGTCTTTTGCTAGGATATTGCATTGCATCGTGGCAGGGTGCATCCCGTGATAGTATTGGTATTACGGACACTCGTGGCGGGTAATCACACGTGTGCATGTACGGTGTACACGCCTTTCTAACGCCATTTTTTTCTTATCTCCGCACTCTTGTCACGAAAATACTTTGTTTCAGGTAAATTGATGCAGAACGACGCCAACCACCGTGGGAAATAGGAACAGTTCGGTAGAACGTCGTCCGTGTAGGGGAGAAAAAAAGGAATTTTGAAATTTTTAATCATACACGCGGAACCATGGAATCTTGGCTCAGGAATGTCCACGACGCCTCGTATAATTTTTACCGCATAATTCCAGTTCGGAAGGAAATTTTAAGGTGAAGAAAAATCGGGATTGCCGGTATTTAAAACTTTTATAGCCGCTCTTAAGATTGAAAGCCCTCGGGCGGCTATATCACCTGCTTCACCTGAGAAGCCGACCTAGATAATTATACGATTTTTACTTACTCCTCGAATTACGCTTAAATTTCCGTCCGATAAACTGGTAAAACAAATCCGAAACCTAGGAAAACCGAGGTAGAAACTTAATCAATTTTTTTCCGCGGTTATACCTAGGGGGATTCCTGTCGAATTTTAATTTTTTTCATTCAATTAAGAGAATAAGAGGAGTCATTTTCTGACGATGCAGTGTCGGCAGATCGTTATGATGCGGACAACCGAGCACACCTAACATCCGAAGAATTGGGTGACACCATTTCTAGAGATCATTACTGGGTCGATCTTTCACGAGCATCTCAAATTTCTTGATCGGAGGCTTTCACCGTTCGTTACTGGTTTTCAGGTGAGCCGTTGGCAAATATGGCTTGCAATTTTTACATTGTCTCATCCTATCGATTGCTCTCATATTCCCGTTATACTTCGTCGCACTTCAACGATGTACTTCCATTTACACTAAATCTAATTACGCTAAATTCTTGCGATGAAAATGTCTTTAATGTAAATTGTAATTACAGGTGGAGGTGTTGCTTAACGCTAATCCTCGCAATTAATTTTATAAGAGAATGCGACAGACTTTCTCGGGAAAAATATTAAGGACTGCTTTATGGTAATAAGAATTGAACGTCTTATATTCATTGGGTTAGAGATAGCGCTCGAGGAGTTTTAAAAATTAATTATGGAAAAGGAACTCATTAAAGAACGGTTTAGCTCGTAGATTCGCAGGCGAGGTGCGCAATTTCATCGGCGTAATTTAAGTCTTGCACGGCTGCGGGATGGCTGAAGTGAAATTCATTTTCTTCGACGCATTAAGTGATCGCTATTTTATTAAAATACCTCTCGCATTAAGGCTGAAATCGACAGTTAAGTATTCAACGTGTTATACCATTCGGATCAAACGTTGCCTCATAGTGTACGGCAAAGCAGGTTCCAGTGTCTTACACGGAAACATCCTTGGGAAGAATTTAAACAAATATTCAATTACTTAACATTACCACGGGAGACTATTTCGCCGTTCCAAATCGTGAAATCCTATAGGAGAAAGGCATATCGTATATTTTATTTTTTTTCCAAATAAATACGTAGACTAGAGTATTAAGAAACCAATCATTTTGCGCGGCTCGTTTTCTGCTATGAATGGTATATGTATCTATATTTTAGGATAATCCCTAAATTAATAGGGACCAGGTGAAAATTCAGGTTTAGGGCTGACAACCCGTAAGAATTTATTACAGCAAAGAGACTCGTCAGTCGCAATTGAGTTCGCGGATCCGTGAGAGATTCGCGACTTAATTGGGACGATTAAGCGATGTAGAGCCGGGGAAGGTTTTCCTCCTTCGACTCAGGTGCGAAAATTTATTACTCATCACCTGCGAGAGCCTGAATGGTCGCGATGGTGAATCTCAGAAGTAGAATTTTAGCAATATCATCATTCGCATAGCAGGAATTTTTTATACGTAAAAGCTGCATAACTTTCCATTCAATCCAAGAACGTTTAAATCAAAATGAAAATCTGGCTCTTTTCTAATAATGTAGAATTTCCGTTTGTTTAGATACGTGCTCACTATTATGTTACAGCAATTTAACGATGATGTAATTACACGCACTTAGGACTTCTGCGGTCTGCACTGAAGCCGCGACTTGTTTTCCCCCGGAAAATTATGCATCGGGGAAAAGCGGTGCAGATGCATTTTTTCATCGGTGAATCTGCACTCGAGACCACATCCTATCCAGATAACCGACTCCTTTGCGCAACATTGATTGGCCAAGTCGAAGGACAGAGCTGGAAGCGAATTGACGGTGGTAAATTTGAACAATAAATCCTCGCAAAACCCTATTTTAACCGCGATCACCGACAGACTTCAGCGCTGATATGAATGCATTAAAGACACGCCCCCGAGCGGTCTACAATTACCACTTACGTGCCGTAATAATGCAAGTAAAGTGTTGGCAATGCGGATCAAGACTCTTATATGCACGTCTCTTTTACCGGGATTAAGCACAAAGTATCATTTCTCTGACTGGGATTCGCCCTCGTATCTGAAATAGAAATTAAATTTCTACAGAAATGTGTGTAACGTTGCGGTACATAGTATGTACTTGTAAGAGTGTAGCCGACGCGCGGGCTGGACTTTATATATATATTTCTTAATATTATATGTGCACTCGTGTTGTACACGATATGTATTTATAAGAAATGTAGGTAACACATATACTGACAAAAAGAAAGAGAAAACCGTCCGTGAAACTCGAGCTCTGCCATAAGAGTACTTCCTCCCAGAGATCTCGAATCCCTGTTCCAACTTTACATGACGTAACTGGATTCACGAGGATTGGGTGCCGTGAAAAATTTAGATTCGCATAAAATCCTAGGAAATGTCGTAACAGGATTAACTCATCGGTAGGTCGTCACGAGAAGTTATCCCGTAAGATATAAAACGAAACTCCCCGTCCAGGAGAGCGAATAAATGAAGCTTCCATCAATATTCATATCGCGTGTATAATTCCGAATTCCTGAAAAATGTAGAAAATTTTAACTGCAGCATATTTTAAAAGTGACCTCCCAGTGTACGAATGAAATATGCATGAAATATAATTTATTTGGTATTGTTTAAAAATTCAGATTACCAGTAAAATGGAAATTCTTGCTTATTAGGGCGAATTGAATGTCTCTTCGATGTGCTGACTGTGTCGGGATACTGTAATAAACGTAAATTTATAGTTAATACGTGATCTTCTGGTAAGTATCTAGGAAACCAATTCTGGAAGGAAGTGCAATTCAGCAGTGCCCAACCATGAAGCCCGAATCACGATCTTCAAGTACGTGTACAACGGTACCTAGAGTATGTCTCGAAACCACGTAGTAATGTCGGCCATGAATCAGCGTAATGATGTTTCTGAATGTGGAAGTGAGGCTTAACAATCTCCTATTAAAAGCCATAAATTCATCTCAGACAGATCACGAGCGAAGACAGTTACTTGCTGGCGTCTTTCATCCGTCGAGTTTAAACCAGGAATCAATCATCATTTATAAGCGTTATAACGATTCGGTAGTTGTAAATCGAAAGGTCTCAATCACCGATAAATTTTCAACCATATTATTTTTTTTGGGTACCTTCTATTCTCATCATTGCCCGGTAATTGTAGATATCTGCGGTACCGATGAACGGATTCGTGATGAGATGAAGTCTGAAGGTAAAACAGCTGACTGTGTTTTGAAGTCAGAGCAGGTCGAGACAAGTGACAGAAAAAATATTTAAAGAACATAAATCCCTAACAAATATTATTTACAATGAAGGACTGAATAAAATCTGTAGTTAAGTCGATGGTTAGTTGTTAGTACAAGAAGTGTCTCAGAGATATGATTTTGTCGAAGGTTGAGGTTATGGCGCATCTCAGGATAAGGAAAATTCCCTGTCAGACGGCACAATTGCTCAATTTGCGATATTTATTCACAACATTCTCAAGGCACAAATCATCGAAGATGATTATGAAGCGAGTCATGAGGGAAAATAAAATACTCTTTGGTAAGTTACTTGAAACCAAGCAAGAAAAGCTGAAAAAATTAAAGTCGATGGTACACGAAGAATCATATTCGATAAATAGGAAGTCTGAGGAACCCAGTCAGAGTACGGAGTTAGCTTGGGTATTAAATTCACCCTATGGATGGGTTCAGAAAATTAAAAAACCTCTGCCAGTTACTCAAACTTCTAAAACAGTTTTAAAGGTTTCGGCGGAAAGGAACGGCTTCATACCCCGTTCTGTTAAAAAATATATCAATGAAAGCAGTGACCCGAGTACGATTGGGACGTGTACTGTTGTTTCTGAAAATGTTAAATGTAATAATGTTTCTGCACTGCCCGAGGTTAGTGAAACTGAAAAATTAAGTGTAATCTGTGAAGGAAACGCAGCTGTGAATAAAAACGAGGATTTAAGGAATGGGCAAAATATAAGTACAGTTGAAGGTTGTAGTTTAAATTCTTCAACTCCTAAAGCAATTATTGAGCTTCCAAATACTGCAACCGAAGGATCAAATTTAATGCATGAAGAAAGTACAAATATGGCAGAGAATGTAGAGTTTGCATCCAAAGATATTAAGTCTGAAAGTGTGCCAGAAGAAGACCTTGTAGTACCATTGAAAGCGAGTGAGAGTAATCATACCAATACCTCGGAAATACCCATTCATAAAAAGTCGATTCGACCCTTAAGTGATATCATAATAAAAAACATAACTTCCTTTTCGATTTTCACTAAGAATAAGAATATATCGGTACCGATCGACACCGCCTCAGAAGTAATAACCATACCTAATGAAAAGCACAAATCTTATGCCAGTTTACCAAGTGTTACACATATTCTAAATGAATCATTGTCGGAAGAATCCAAATTGCGATTAGACACATGGAAAAAAAATATGATTCTCAGCTTAGGGGAGGAAGGCTTTGAACGCTATCAAAGTGGTAATATATTATATATTTAATTTCTAAAATAGAATACCCTTTAAAAACTGTTTGAGAACCGAGATTAATTTTATTTTTAGACTTGTTCATGCATGGCAGAATGTTACATTCTTCGATAGAGAACACTTTGCTGAATAAGGTAGTCGAAGTACCCGAACCAATTCAAGGATCTTTCGACAGCATAAAAAATATCTTAAAGGACGTGAATTCTGTAACAGCGGTTGAGACATTAGTCGTGCATCCAAAATTACAGTACAAGGGCATTATTGATTGCGTAGCATTTTACAGGTAAAGTAGGAAGTTGAGTATCCATTTATCGACAGATGGAAGAGAAGAGATTTAGTTCGTCGCTCGCACAAAATTTAGCAGATGGCGCGTCAAGCCCATTGAACCTCGCGTAGAAACCCGAATACGAAAGAATAAATATTAGATTTATTGAACATCCATGGAACTCGAATGAAACCATGAATTTCAAAGAAAATGTGTAGTTAAATAATAATTAATTAGTATTACGCCAATTTCAGGGGAAAGTTGTGCGTAATCGACTGGAAGAAATCCGAGAGACCAAAATTGACAATACACGACACGTATGATGCTCCATTACAAATAGCCTCGTATATTGGGGCACTAAACGCAGACGGCAATTATCCCTTCGAGGTGACTGCATAAAAAGAGACGCGCAATCATCCCCCTGCCATTCATAATTTTAATAATTTTCCTATAATTTCCTCTCAGGTGTCAAATGGTCTAGTCGTCGTGGCATACAACAGCGGAGCCCAAGCGAGCGTACACGAGATTAATCAATTCACATTACAAATGTACTGGAAGATGTGGCTGAAGAGACTGCAAACATACTACACAGAATTTAACCAAAAAAAGGAATAATGGTAAATCTTCGCGTAGATAAATTGTGACCATTCATGCATACATTCGTATGAAATAATTATTCATTCTGTTGGAATCAAGGTATTCAATCTACGCCATTATCCGTGCAGTGCACTGCGCGTAGATTTAGTAAATAACAATATATCATTCCGACAAATCGATGGCGAGTTACCTCAACCCCTCTAGGGGAACATCCAGAAGTTATCTTGCCGCTGAAATTACGAGCCCTAACAATCCATAAGGCAGAAAAGCGCACATCGTGCACCCTTCTCGGCGATCGCGGTTACCATCCCCAGCGAAGAGGGTGGAGGATGGGCGAGCACTTTCGAACTTAGTTTCCCCCGATAAGCGTATAAAGGCGAGTCGTAAGTTCACCCCCGTAGGTGTGCGCCGTCGGGATCGGATAAAAGAAAAAGAAACCCCGGGCGCGATTCCATTAAAACTCGGCCGCTGAAAAATGTAATCGGCGCCGCGACGCCGGTTCGCCAGAGGCGCAGGAGTAATAAAAGCGTAGGCGTCACCCCGTAAAAATTGAGTCCATGGCTCTCTCTCTCTCTCTCTCGTCAACGCCACTCGTGGGGACACCGTACAGACAACCCCGGGTTAACATATAGCAATTATAACTTTCGATGCCACCCCTGTGTGCACCGCGGTGCGCACCCCTTGCCACGGGGCCCCGTAAACGCGACTGCAACCCTTCGCAAGCCCTTGGGAATCGTAAACTAATGGCGAAGCTGTGTAGCGGAATTATCTTTCGCGGCCTCGTCGGTGTACCCACCTGTGTTATCCCCGCGTCGACGTTCGACCACTCTTTCATCCTCTTTCGCTTTTTCTATATTCTACGTTCCGAGAAAAAATATACCGGAATACGCAGGGTTGTAATTAATTGCAAGTGTTTATTACTTTTAGTATATAATTAGTAGTTAATTCAGAAATATGCGTGGCGCGTTACGGCCATGGTGGAAATTCGGTGCCAGGGGCAACACGGGCAAGCCAATTCGGGGTAAAACCGTTCGGTGTAAATTTCCCACCTGCTGGTGTTATTGTTAAAGGGAAACCTTCGCGGTAAATTTACGCCGAGCGGCCACTAAATCGACGCCAAATGGTCTGGATTCGGATTAACACGGGATTTTTTTATTCGGCTGGGGTCCGGGGGCCAAGCCCGAAGCGCCGAGCGATATGCCTGCAATTGCAACCTCCCGTCCGTCATTTTCCCCCGGAGGTGGCTACACCGCTCGAAACATTTATTTCGGCGCATCCTTTGTGACCGGGGCTTTCAAAACTTGTAGCATAGAGCGTAGGAAAATGGGGGAAAATAACGATAATTTCCCCTTTGATTTTTGCCCTCTTTATCCCCCTTTGCAATTTCCCATGCGTGCCTGTACCGATACCCGCTTGTGCACAGGTGAGGCGACTAGAAAAGGAGGCCAGCCAAACCGGAGGGAAAGAGGGAGCGCGAAGCAGCCCTAACGAGATCATATCTTGACCGCCTGGGGCCTGAAACAACATACCGAATTACCGGCGTGCGGAAATGGAACAATTACCGATAACGACGTCTCGCCCCCTTGATAGTGCATCGTGAGTGACGTCTCAATTCCGCGGAAACGCCGGAATGGCAGGACCGATCGGAGGGAAATTTCACCGTGGAATTTCGATCGGGACCCTGGAAGAGGATCGTTAAGGCGGGACCAAGGATTTTTATTCAACTTTTAAAAGCGAGGCATAAGAACGAGGTGAAGGCTTTATCCTTCATTTATTCCTAGATCCGTTGGGGAGTGCAGCAGGATCCTGACGAAAGACGCTTATATGTCCGGATTAGCGGGTCGGCTCATCCTAGAGCCCGGGTCCTAAATCTTGACGCTAATCCACCGTTCAACCGAGACATATTTTCATAAGGGGTGCGCCTCCCTCTTCTCAGTTTTTCGGACCACCCCTGGAGTCATAGGCGCGGATAAACCTCTTTGGGCTGGTCCGAGCGATTCCTCTTCCGAGGAGAGCCGCAGGCCAGGCGGATGCTGGGTCGAATCGGCGATTTATCTCGATGCAAAACCCCCCGTGGAAACGCGTCCTAGGTCGATGCTAGGCGGGACGTCCCGGCTAATGTACAGAGCCCTCGGCTGAAAATGGATCTTTATAAAGTGCGTCGAGGGTGTGCATTATTACCCCCGGGGTGAGTAGGACTATTCATACTTTCGGGGAAACGCCCTCCATACAGAAGTGCCCGCAATCGAGGCCTGCCCGAACGGCCCCGAACTTTTCCGAACATTAACACGAATTTGAATTTCATTGCCGAGCCGGAACCGGTAATTAGCTCCTGCAAAAACATGACTATCTCGGGGGAATTTATTTTCCCTGGTAGGTATTATTTCACGATGAGAGGATTTATTCACCTGGTGCTGGACGAGATCTAATTCGGCAGGAATTGGGTTAAAAAGGGTTATTCTTCGGGGCTGTTGACTGGAAAGAGGCGTGAGCAAAATGATTGCAAGATTGCCGCCATTTTGGTCGCGCTTTAGACGTCGAGTGGAATGCTTTTTGGTGAAAATGTAAAAACGTGAAAATGTGAAAATGTGAAAATGTGAAAATGTGGAAATGTGAAAATTATGAAAATATGAAAATGTAAAATTATGAAAATGTGAAAATGTGAAAATGTGAAAACGTGAAAATGTGAAAATGTGAAAATGTGAAAATGTGAAAATGTGAAAATGTGAAAATGTGAAAATGTGAAAATGTGAAAATGTGAAAATATGAAAATGTGAAAATGTGAAAAATATGAAAATGTAAAATTATAAAAATGTGAAAATGTGAAAATGTGAAAATGTAAAAATGTAAAAACGTGAAAATGAGAAAATGTGAAAAATGGGGTTGTCTAGACGAAAGATGTAATCATTTCCGGAAGTAAAGCGTGTCGCTAAGTGCTGGGAGAATCGCGTGTCCGAAAGTCGTGGAGGGACTGTATAAAGAGTACTCCCAGGGAAATCTCGACTGTCCCATCCGCCACCTTGAAGAATCCTTTTTCTTCGCCTCTCTAGAACGTAATCGTCGGTCCTGGAATGACGCAGTCGCAATCTCGCGCGCGTTCATTTTTTTTTTTACTCGGCTCTGGAGATAAAATCGTAAGAAGAGGGGTGCAAAAATTCTATATATCGTGCGCGGAGTGCTGACGCACTTAAATACTTGCCCGGGTAAAAAGTACGAAATGGAGTTACCTCGAGGACCGAGCTGCGGATCGATGGTCCCCTTAGGAAAGAATTTTAAGACCCCGTCAATTTCACATCTCCTTCGCGGAGGCCACTGCAAGATCCGCAGTGCACCCTTTCAACTTACTCTCTCCCAGTTCGGTGCGCGTTAAACCCACCGAAGATCGTAACAAGAACTTCCGTACACACGCTAGGTACCCAACTTTCCTCGAAATCCATCAAGTCGAAGCTCAGGACGCAAGACGCGTTTCGACGCCTCGAGCATTCTCGCGGAGACCCGAATAGTGTAAAAATAAAATGATTAAAAACTAACCCTCGTCGAGGGAAATTAATTGTACCCTCGCCCGCCACTCGTATTACCTCGATATACCCAGGGTATTTTTTCTATCGCGATAAAGGGATGAACACGTTAAAAAAGTAACCGCGGAGAAGCCGCATCGCGGGGACGTCGCTAAAAACTAGGACGCGTCCGCGCGGAAACACAAGTCCGGCTAAACTCCAGCTACTTAATTCGCCGGATCTCCTTAAGGTTCGTCGGCCCCCGTCCCGAGGGAAAAGCCGCCGGAAGTTAGTCAATATCGAGAGCCCGAGGCTGGAAACCGAAGTCTTAATCGGCATAACTGCCTCCTTATTGGCCGTCGAACTTTGCAATTCCAGGACCTCGAAGTTCCCTCTTGGAGGTGGGATTACCAATTGATGTCGCTATTATTAACGATTAATACAAAATCAGGGATATCCTTAAAACCCGCCATTTCACTGTAAATCTCATCGAAAGGTGAAATTGATCTCCAAGGACGCCTGTCACGTGACGGATTCACTGCGATCGATAATATAAAATCGTTTGATAAGTCGATCGATCGATTTTTGGGTCGGGCCTCCGTGCTGGACCTTCTCTATAGAAGGGCGTTTAAAAACGGCAAAAAGCCTCGATTTCACAGCCAGTGGCTCGTGCGAGCTGGTGGGCGCTCGTGTGCGATGAGGATACGCGGAGAAATGCCCAGCATCCGGGACAGCAGTCGTTCGAAAAGGCGAAAAGGCGGACGTGCGGAAGGGGCCCTCTTCGCCCTACGCGCGAATGGCCTCTTCCGGCTGCGATTCCTGGAGGCGCTTTGTGCCGACTCTAACCTGTCGCGCCACGTGTTGTCCGTGCAATTACCTTGCGCATCCCGAGGGCGCCGGATCGACTCTTTCCTCCCTTCCGAACCCCTTCCGCGCGAGGATCGATCCCGGGATAAGTAATGCGGCGCGCCCGGAGATTGGCAAAATTGACGCAGCCATGTCGCGATCCCCGACAAAAGCTCTGGAATATCGAGAGGCGGTTTAATCTTTAAGATTTCCAATTAGCCCATTTGCATCGTAAGGAAATATGAAAAAGAGGATGAACTTTCAGGCGGAATGATAATGATGCAAATGGGTTAACCCCTAGTACATGGAATACCTAATTCATCTCTTTTAGGGCAGATCGACGATATACCCTCTCGCGGCATTAAAATGGCGATTAGAGAATTATGTCGCGGTATAGGTTTGTTTTTATACCTGGGATGGAATCGATCAAAGGGGCCGCAAAATAATCTGGGCCTCGGCTTGCAGACGGAATTAATGGCGGAACAACACGCGGCGCTCATCTCTTGGAGGAGAGCAAACGCAGGTCGGATTCCCGGGGCATAAAGCTCGAGGCCTTCGAAGGGAGGCACCCCAGGAATTCGGGGAGACGGGGAAGGAGTCGCACGCACCGATCCGGCTCCTCCGTTAAATGAAGCCAACTCTCCAACGGGACGGTGGGCGCGGTCGCGAGCGAAATCGATTTCGGGGAGGCCGAGAGAGAGAGGGAAAGAGACGGAGCGACGCGGCCGAGGCGCGCGAGACGAAGACGAGAAGAGAGGGCTGCGCGTGATCTCGGATCGCAGGAGCGATTCCGGCTCCCCCGGGCTGCGGAATCCGCCCTGCCGCCTTCGCATGGAATTCCGCAACTTCGGGGTGTATACCACCGCGGAACTTCGCCCGCTGCGTAATCGGGGACCGACCCTGGCACCGCGTTATGAGATACGTGTCCCGCGTTAAACGCGCACAGGAGGGAGGACGGACCTGCCGACGAATTTCCAAGACGTCATCCGGAGGCTGGACGGAAACGTCTCGAGAAACAGATTATATCGAGTTTTCTCTATTTTTTTTTCTTGATATTTTTCCACATTGATCGCGGATTTCGGGGAATTTCTTGGATTATTTATGCGAGCGTCGTTTGGCTCGACGGTCTGCCCGGTGGATTTCAAGATGGCGGCCGACCTCAGGTTCGACGACAACGATGACGTCGGGCATGGACCCCTTGAATTACCGAAGCGTCGTCGAACCTCGCGACCGGGCCTCTTCAATTGGGACCTCGCTTGGAATTCATTTCCAAAAGTGACCGTAATGACCCTCTGCCGCCATTTCAAGACGGTTCTAGCACCGAGGGTCAGCAGTAAAGTCCCTCGAAGCGCTAATAAAAACCGCGCCCGAACACCTGTAACTCCCTCGCTGGACCGGACTCGTTCGCTTTTAATATCGACGCCGTTTAACGAACCGTGCCGTTTCCTGAATCTTCCGCAAGTCGCATTTACGTCCGAAGGGAGGTTAGGTTAGTTACGACGGTTTCGCTAAAAGGACGGCTGCACGATTTTTTCCAATTCGGAGAAAATGGACGTTTCGTAATTTGTACACGGAGAAGAATATTTAAATGAAGATTTTTCGAGCGACCTTCAAGCGTCAAGAGGTCCGGATTTTGAAGGTTATTTCCAGTCACGTGACCAAGTAATACGGAAGCCCTTCCGAAGTTTAACGACGAGAGGCGTAATTAAGGTGTTTCGTAGCTACTTAAGTGAGCGCTCGGCTAACTTTAACGAATTCTACGGCAAGTTACGTAATAAACGCATTTAATCTAGGAGCCCGTCTAATTAATCGGATTACTATAGCAGACTCAAACGCACCGGTATTACGCATCCACCTCGAGGCTCCTCCAAGAAGGGCCGCCATTTTGTATGCCATTCCTCGATTACGCAAAGAGGCTCGGCAGGAATTTCCATAAGCGGCGAAGCAACGAGAAGAGGAATAAATGCACACGCACAGGACGACAAGAACGTACTTAACAAGGATCGTTATCGGTACAAGACTTTGCGTAACTCGTATAACCTCAAATTTGAGATAATTGGAATTTCATTTCGAGTCCCTTAAATATGGTTGAATAATATCTGGAAATAATTTCCGTCCTTTGAGGCCACTGAAATTTTCCCTCGGAGGGGGGAATATTGCAACGAAAGTAAGAAATGAAGGACTGGTTCCTCCATTAAAATTTCAAGGAAGTGCAAATCCTGGAAGGAGGAACTCATCGCCCTCCAGCTTTAACTTCCTACTTTGAGGGCAACCAATTCTTTGAAGTCTCATAATTTATCCCGAGAAGTGGCGAATTTTACGAGATAATTGCGCGGATACGTCGAAACGCCATTTCCGTTCCTGGTTATTTGTCCCTAGGGGATTTCGACGCCGCGAATATGCGTGGCTCCGTTTGAAGGGTGTGCGACCATAAAAAATGGGGAAGAACGAGGAAACGAGGGTTCCCCAACCGATGCGACTTTAAGAAAACAGGAAGGAAAACACAGTTTCATCGTGCAATTTATCCCGCCATTTTCTAGGGTTCAATTTACGCGGAGTTTAATGTAAATCACTGTAATGGCGGACAGAGGACGCCAACGCGTCGCCATAGTGGGCAGCCTGGAAACCGAAATTTACGGCGCTTTCGCGCAGGAAATTCGATTTCCGAAATTGAGCAGTTACGACATGTTTATTCATTCGAGCTGCTGCGAAGAGGATGTCTACTTTTGTGCCCGGAAATACGACGAGGCATTCGTCACGACTAGACCGAGAGCAGGAGCGTGACTTCTCCGAGTGTTTCGGTATATTTGCCAAAAAACGTAAATAACGAGACTGTAACACCTTCTGCCTACGAGTTCCTATTTACCGGGACTTCCTTCCTCCTCTGAAAAGTTCAGATTTTTGGCAAAAATTACGGGACGATTTATTTATCCATTTACATCGAAAGGGTTACGCTCGTAATGAGAATTAAAGCGGTATTCCTGGCGGCATTATATTCCTCTCACGAACCGACTCCTATTTGCCACATTGAACCCGAGGCGGCTCGATTCGAATTCACGAAGGGAGGGAAGAACAATAGGCGGAAGTTGAGAAAAGGCCCGAAAGGACGAACTACACCGGGATAATTAGATTATTCGGTGGAGAACGCGCCGCATAATTAGGCGATCGCTCCAGGACTTGGAGACAGTCCGACTAATTCGTTTTAACTAGACCCTCGATATAGGACTCCATACATTCGATAAATAATATTTATAGATC